TATATATGATGGGATTAACAATTCACAGCAGTTGTCGGCCGGACGACACCAACACGATATACTGTTATGTGATGTTTTATTCTACTCGTTCTATCCACTTGTACCTGTATGTATATACCATTGTTTTGACATAGCTGTACCTAAAAATCTAGGTTATTTTCTCGTTTAAGGCGTCTTCAAGATTACATAATAGTGATGGTTGCAGTATTAGTAGTAACAATAATAGGCCAACTTGAATGGACCGTTTCAAGAAGGTTGAATGCTTTACTCTGTCTCTCGAAGCATTTGACACCCCGGAAAAACCATCAAAAATTGACATGATATAAGCTGATCCTTGTTGCTACTAAAACTCAACATCACCTCAGGTAAACCGTCTAAATACTTTTAGTCATTGAATTAGGCTTAGCGGATATCTTAAAAAATATGAACATTTTGATATGATTGAAAGGGCGTTACGACCTGATAAAAGCAACGAAAGTTTGAGGAGCTTGTTTTTGTCTTTGTGCTATGGTTAGCTCGGACATTGTGACCACATGTTTCTGTGTATGCCTGTCAGAGAGCAGATCGAAATACAAAAATAAGATGCTTTGTCGCTGGCCTGGCTTATGTTTCTCAAGAAAAACTCGTTAAGGCTGTTACACCAAGACCCCTGTGGCCTGCATTGTTGACCACACAGAAGGTTATCCCTGGGCTGTTAATTGCGGCCTGTGAACGAAACGGTATGCGCGCCTTACAGTAAGCACCATCGGTAACAAAAGCATAGCAACTTAGCATTGCTTTCTAGTCGTCTAAAATAAGCACATACCATCATCAGCATTCGTTTGTACACAAAACTATCCAGCTACTTAAATATTCTACAGTACTTTTTCGTCATAGATAATCTAATTAACCGTAATTAAAAATTGTTGTACACTCAATGTGTATATGTCTGCACTTTTTGTAATAAATATATAATAATAAAATAGGTAAAACGTCATTTTGAACACCTGACGATGGATCAACTAGACCGACCGACCGACCGACCGACCGACCGATCTACGAACGTACCATCTAATAATCTACGATAGTAACGAATCACGAGACTGATTTATCGTTATAAATTATGTTATTATCAACTAATTATCTTACTTGTAATGCTAAATAATTCCTATTCATCATTATGTATTAGTAACAGGGCTATTATCTCTAATGTATCATGATCGCCATCACCATTACTAGATAAATCAATAACCGACCCTGATTAATATTAGTATATTTCACCTCGTAGTGCGCGTCCCACGCGGGCCTGTCTTCCCTTCGCCGGTCCGAAGAAAGCCCCCACAGAAAGAACAAATCTCGTTTAAGTTTTCGCGCGCTTTCAGAGCTTCTTTTGATTCGCTGTCATTTCTGAGGCGAGAAAGACTCGGGACTGGGCGCCCACCCGTCAGCCAACACTTCAGCGCCAACTTTACTCGGCAAAGTAACAACTTTGATGGTGTATATTCACTGACAGTTCACCGTTTACCATCCTAAACATTTATGAGCTTGGCATCATAAAAACAAATCGACTCCCGAAAATGGAAACTTGATTAGTCACGTTAGGGTTTTACTTCCGTTCTGACCGTCCTCATTTCTAATTTGGGCTGGCTGTCTATGGTGTCAATAAAACTTGATCAATGGCAAATGGCCTTCGGCTTCTTCTGTGATATTAAGCTTTCTTTTGCCAGATGCTAAGATGACAAGTTATCCTTAGATATCTCCACTCTTCAAACCTGTTTAATTGTTAAAACTGCGACCTCAATTGAGCGCAGGACGGTCAAATGATGTTGTCATTGTTCTCCACTGTGCATCTGCTAGAATCAGTCGACTTTGAAAAGCTAAAAACTAAAGGCATTAGAACAACACGGGGTCGTTATTAGCTCTGAAATTAGATTTAGATTTTAAATTATATTTCTCTGGTATGAAATAACGTGTGGACTTTGGCGGTTCCCTTAAAACAAGTCCATTGTTTTTTGCGCTGCCGCTGGTGTTTCGCTTTTCTATTTAGCCAATAGATTCTTGTTGCTGGGTCGGGCCTACATATATGTCCTGCATTGTTGAGTTGTCTGAGAAACTTATTTATAGCTGAACAGGTCCAAGAGAGGTTACTATTCCCGTACCCAGGGGCTACAGATTTTCGACTTGAATCAAATAGGGCTTCGAAACAATGTCACTGTGTATCCCAATACGTATGTATATATGTTAATGCGTGCTTTTAATACTAGAACAATTCGTCGTAGCTTCTTGTTTGTCGCTGTTGCGCACACCGAGTGGAAGCTTTTAGCAAAGGTGACAGAGTTGACATTTCGTTCTCAATTCGCAATACGCAGCTGTGAAGGATCGCGAACTCCGATCCTTTTTCTTACACACAATTTACAGAAAAGCTCTGCTGCTTCCAGATTTATCAGACTTCCTTCATGAAATTCACAGTCGCATGGTTGTAACCTCAGGTTTATCCTAGCTTTCGATGTTAATCTTAACCCTGCAGTTGTAGACTTAAACTTGATTGATGCTTTAAGACTTCAGCTTGATGAATTTTAGTCCGGATGTCTTATTTTAGCTATCCTGCCGGATACCTACAAAAGGTTAATAGCCATTTTATTATCCACGTCTTCTTCATGACTTTGTTTAACGACAGTAAACTGGGTTACTCTAAAAAGACACTGAAGAAATTTTGGTGACGACCTATTATCAATATTGTTCTCTAGCTGAGCGACTGAGAGCGGAAGCAGTGATTATTTCGAAATCATCGTATGTGTACATTTTACAATACCCAAAACAACCCTTCGCACAATCTTGCGGATTCAGCATCTTTTCAAACTTCATGCTAACAGAAATGAAACGAAACGCTAGAAGGTCTCTCCTACCGAATAAAACACCACCAGGTCCTGACAGGGTTGACACACCCGCATTGAGAAATTGGTCAACCTCACGAGCGCATTGGCGACCTTCATTGATGGCATGAACGACTAGCGATTGACCTCGACGGCAGTCTGTAAAACACAAAGACATATATGGACCGTTTGTACCACCAAAATAAGTCCTCAACAAGCACTATACGAAACTTGCCGGTTTTTTTTTTTTGCAACGTACGGTCAAATGATTAGAGCGTTTTTTTTGTATATGTTGTAATGATTACACAGTTCGATTACAATCCAACAAGACGCAGATTCAAAATCATTCGCTTAGAAATAAGTTCGTTCGTATACTCAACATACCTCCAGCTGCGAATACTTTCGGTATCGAAGTAGCAAATTTGCCTTTGGTGTCAATATTGGAACGCGGATCTTGAGCAAGTCCTAGTTGTTCAATCAGATACTTTTCGGGTCCTAGAAATCCCATGGCCAACAGTACAAGATCAGCTTTGAACTCTTGTTCGGATCCTACTTCTTCGGTCATCATCCATCGACCCATTTCGTTCTTAGCCCAGTTCACATTGACTGTGCGGATTCCTGCTACGTTGCCTTTGCCGTCATCGATGAACTCCTGAAAAATATTTTGCAATCATATACTTACATAATATACAAAAATATACACTAAGATTTGCGTTTGTTACAGTCAACATGCGTATGTTGTAACACCAAACAATTTATGAACTTCTGACTAACCATCTGGAATCCGAACCTTCATAGTCTGCTTTTCAATGAAAAAAAGGTTTCTACTCGGAAGACATATTTTAGACGCCACTGCGAACCGCAACAGCTGAAGCACCAAAATAATCTTAGCAGAAAAAAAGGACTACGCGCGTACCTTCGATAGGATGGAGAAATGTCTGGGATCCTTTCCGTACCTCAGTCGCACTTCCTCGTGGCCGTAATCAACGCGCATGATGCGAGGCCACTGAGGCCATGGGTTATTGTCCGCACGGTTGTCAGGCGGTTGTGGCAGAATCTCGAACGTGATGATACTCTTCGCCTGCTGACGTAGCGAGGTGGCAATACAATCCACTCCGGTGTCACCTCCTCCAATCACAATCACATTCTTATTCTTAGCGTCAATAATTGGCAGATCGTCTCCCGCCAGTTGTTTTTGCGATTTCTCAAGGAAGCTCATAGCATAGTGGATGCCCTCTAGTTGCCTACCTGGAATAACCAAATCCCTAGGCGAGGTCGACCCCGTTGTAATGACGATGGCATCATTTTGAGACATTAACTCTATACCGCTAATATCTTTACCGATATCCTTGTTACAAGCAAACTTGATTCCCTCGTCTTCCATTAGCTTTACTCGTCTGTCAACTATATCCTTCCCCAGTTTCATGGTTGGAATACCGTATCGTAGCAGACCACCTACACGGGTATTTCTCTCATACACAGTGACCAAATGACCGGCTTTATTGAGTTGTGCAGCTGCCGCCAAACCGGAGGGACCAGACCCGATAATTGCCACCTTTTTGCCTGAACGTACCGGCGGCAGATGCGGCACCATCCATCCCATCTCGAATCCTTTATCGATAATTGCACACTCTATATTCTTGATTGTGACTGGTGGCTCATTAATTCCCAAGACACATGCCCCCTCGCAGGGTGCGGGGCACACGCGGCCGGTGAATTCAGGGAAGTTGTTGGTCTGAAGAAGCTGATTGAGGGCTTCCTGCCAATTTCCTTGGAAGACAAGGTCATTCCATTTAGGAATGATGTTACCCAATGGACAACCATGGGAAGATTGACAAAACGGTACGCCACATTCCATGCAACGTGCAGCTTGTGTTTTCAGGCTATTGCGTACGTGACTATAATTATAGATTTCCTTGTAATCATTCATGCGGACTTCAGCATTTCGGTAGGGGTGTGTTTCACGCGTGTATTTCATGAATCCCCGTATTTTGTCCAGCTTTCCAGCCACATCTTCAATATCTTTGATCGCAGGTGCCTGTTCGACTTTTTTCATGGATTGAGCTTCCTCAGCCATTTGTTTCAGAGCGCGCTGATACTCGTGTGGAAATACCTTTACGAACTTCTCAGCTGATATGGGCCATTGGGAAAGTAGCGTCTTTGCCACTTCTGAGCCAGTTTTATCAATGAATTCCTGCATAAAGTTTTTGACAAACGTCATATCTTCATCTGTGTCAACCGGGAGAAGGTCACACATTTCAGTGTTGCATCGTGTATGAAACTTGCCATCTACATCTAGTATGTAGGCGATACCACCGGACATACCTGCGGCAAAATTTCGTCCCGTAAGGCCGAGCACCATGACATGTCCACCAGTCATGTACTCACAGCCGTGGTCGCCGATGAACTCAATCACAGCGGTCGCACCAGAGTTTCGTACAGCGAAACGTTCGGCAGCACCTCCACGGAAGAAGGCCTTACCTGCCGTAGCCCCATACAGGCAAACGTTGCCTGCGATGACATTTTCCTCGCTGCGGAATTGCTCTTGAACATTACTAGGTGGAACAATAGTTAATTCGCCACCAGAGAGACCCTTTCCAACATAATCGTTGGCATCTCCTTCCAAAGTGACATACACACCCCGACAGAGGAACGCACAGAAGGATTGACCGGCTGAACCCTTAAGGAAGATGTTAATCTTCGAACCATCGGGCAGACCAGCGTCATCGTACTTGGCAGCAATATGGTAGGACAAAGTGGTCGCAAAGGCCCGATCCTCATTAGTAATATCCATGTGAATTGTGGCCTCCTTTGATCGACCATCAATGACTGCTTGAGTTTGCTTTATGAGGAGATTGTCCATGCGCTTGCCAAGCTCGAAGTCCTGTCTGATTGACCCTCCTTTGATATTTGTGCCAGGTCGCATGCTCAGCGCACTAAGCAGAATTGGTGAAAGATCTAAGTACGACCCACGAGGGTTGCGGTCTACGCCTTCATATATTTTAAGAAGATCCGTGCGACCTATTGCTTCTTGAAGTGAAGTAAGCCCCATTTTAGCCAGGTACTTGCGAATCTCCTCCGCCAGCAAAAATAGGTAATTCACTACGTGCTCGGGCTTTCCAGTAAACTTCTTGCGTAGCTCGGGGTCCTGTGTGGCAATACCCACAGGGCATGTGTTTAGATGACACTTTCGCATCATTGTACAGCCCAAGACGATGAGCGGTGCTGTTGAAAAGCCAAATTCATCAGCTCCTAGGATAGCAGCAACCATAACGTCGAACCCAGTGCGAATCTGCCCATCGGCTTGTAGCACCACACTAAAATACAAAACACACGACAAGATATAACTTTGTGCATACGTATTACTTCAAAATGATTTCACACGGTGTTAAAACGAATTCGTCCTCGCAATTCACATATTGATGCCAAAATCAGGTTGCCAATAGTGCGTCCTTTGGGATAACGCGTTGATAGGCTGGCCACCTGCCACCCGAGAAGATCTACTTCAAAATGAGAAATCTAAAAAACTTAGCTATCTATAAGGGTAGATTACTGATACTGTATATCAGATATTGAACTACTTAAAATGAGTTTAGATAACACGGACTCCCTTGGGTAGAATAAATTCAGAATGTGAGAATGTTGTTGTTTGCAAATTTATTTGTTAATTACCGAGATCGGAGGTCGTTTTGAACGAGCGTCTGATGGGTCTCAGCTATTCCGAGTTCCCATGGTAATCCAGCACCTTTAATTCCGGTCCAGCTTGAGGCGCCCGTGCCTCCATCGTGGCCCGATATAGTAATGTGTTCAGCTTTACCTTTCGCTACGCCAGAGGCCACAACACCAACACCATCTTCAGATACGAGTTTCACAGAAATCCGCGCTTTGGGATTGGAACATTTCAGGTCATAGATTAGCTCAGCGAGATCTTCTATCGAGTAAATATCATGGTGAGGTGGAGGGGAAATTAATCCCACACCCGGGATGCTATGACGCGTCGCTGCAATTTCTTTCGATACCTACGGGAGGGGACAATTAGGAACTAGTTAAGTTAATTAATATATAGATTACATATATTCTAGAAGTGACAGCAATAGTGACAGTATAGTCTTATAAAATGGAATGATAAGCAAAATCTCAATTTAAAAGAACAGTTCTATAAAAGCTTTTGGGGTCCCTTCTTATCTAGTTATCTATCTCATCTAGTTATAATAACTAGATGGCATTTTAATCCACACATAGCATGTAAAAGGTGAAACAGTGAAATAGAAACCTTTGGCTAAACAGCAAAAGTGAGTACGCAGCCGTCTAATCTACTATTAGAAAAATCCGTCTAAAAAACGTGTACGGTGAAGCTGGTTATCTGTGCTTTCACATATTAAGATGAATCAAACCTCTTAGAAATCATCACAGGTAACATATTGAGTTATGGCTCTGAGCGATCTGATCAGAAAAAGAGCTAAATCAATTATGCGTAACCTCGATCTGACTGCAAATTTTGTCGGCTGGATTCATTTCGAAATTGAGTTTACTCTGTCTTCAACGGAATTGAAAGCTAGTATTGGAGTTCGCCGATTGTTAGTCCAAGATTCGCTCAATTCAAAACCAATGAAGTTGAAAAATATCTGGAAGTTCCAGTTTAATCTCCTTGGTCATCGCTGACTATAAATCCAGGCACGAGCAGCTGTAAGAAATACCGTAGTAAAATGCTGAATAAACCGAAAGTGACTAATTTCTTGAGATTTGCTTTGAATCTGGAACGTAATAGTAAACTAAATAAATTATAATACATAATACGACAACTCCCTACCTAATAATGGTATACGTAACTGTGCCACCACACGCTGTAAGAAATCAACGATAGCTTACCTTAAATCCAGGAAGTTCTCCACCCTCTCCAGGTTTTGCTCCTTGGGCCATCTTAATCTGAAGTTCGTCGCTGTTAGCGAGATAGGACGCTGTCACACCAAATCGGCCGGAAGCGACTTGTTTGATGGCTGATCGTTTGTTCTCATCAGGTTTTTGATGGGCCCAGCGATTAGCATTCTCACCTCCTTCACCTGTATTTGATTTGCCGCCTACTCGGTTCATGGCAATGGCCAATGTAGTATGCGCCTCGATCGAAATCGAACCAAATGACATAGCACCGGTACAGAAACGGCGCACGATCGCAGAAGCCGGTTCCACAAGAGAAACATCTATTGGGTTCTTGGCGGGCACCAGGTCAAACTGGCCACGAAGGGTACACTGGCGAACAGATTTCATTGTGCTTTCGACAAACCTGTCATACGATTCATGTGAGTTTGTCTTGCCTGCCTCCTGTAAGTTAGCCACAGAAAGCGGATCATTTACGTGGCTTTCACCACCGGCACGCCAATGATACTGACCAGGATTGCGAAGAACAAGTGAGTCGTATCGTTTGTCAGTATACTCAAGGTAGTATCGGTCGAACGTGTCATCAGCCAGATGGCGGAACGTACAGCCGCTGATCCGGGAAGCGCTATTCTTAAAGCATTTGTCAACAACTTCTTGAGCGAGTCCAACAATCTCGAAAATTTGCGCGCCTTTGTATGACTGTAGGGTGGCAATACCCATCTTCGCCATAACCTAAAAATGAGATACCGTTTGTTACTCAATGCGATCTCTCCCATCGCTATCATTCTTAAACATGCCAACGCATAGGTTATATCCCATGTATTAAGTTTATGTAAAACTTTCTTTCTAAGTTTCCCTACTTTTTTTTTTCCTAATTATTTACTTCCGGTATGAAAGTGTTTTTTTTTTCTCTATGGGCATGTTGTACTACGTTGTGGGCACAAGTTCAATTCGAGCTAACTCCTCAAAAATGATGCTCGAGGTGCATGTTCAACATCTTCTGAACTATATATTTCATCGTAGCCAAGATAATGCCAAAATAGCCCAGGACACTTGCTTTGTGCATGTTAAGGAGGCTATCCCAAAAAACTGCTTAGGAAGGTTTTCCGAGTTCGAAAACGGTATCTAAAAATCACAATATATTCCCGTCAGCTTACAGTCTGGGTTTAATAATGACTACCCGAAAGGCACTTTTGAAGGAAGATGGTTGGCGCGCAACTTGAAAACTAGCCGAAAAGGCAAACTGCAGTTAAACGACCATTGCTAACCACCTCAGGTTCCTTGCATTTGGAGAAAAACTTCAAACTTCGAAACCTCATACTCTTAAATGCACACACGAACATCCCAAACATCTCGTCCATTATAGCTTCATGTGGTCACATGATAAATTTTTAGCACAGAACCTTCAATACGTATCAAACCAAGGCTGGAAAGCTTCTTTGAGACAAAACCCGCTGCTTTCTAGCGAGACGGGGGTACATGGTGGCAACGCTAAGGAAAGTTGTGAACACTGACTGGGAATATATAACATAAATAACTCATTCTTACGGGAATAAAAAATGTGGTGTTCTCTCTTCAGTGAAAAAAGCCTTCTTTCCAACCTAATATTTCAATTATAACGTAAGCTTAAATATTAATACTACTAAAACTAATCAAAAGACTTTTCCACCGATTATTTCGATTTTATTCTAAAACACTTCATTATCAACATATTGCGAATGTAAGTTAAAGATTGGTAGACAATGTTAGAAATGAGACCAGTTTGTCGGTAACGGCTTTAAGAGTAGTTTGTTATAAACAAGAAACGAAAGCAATGCTTTTTTCAGTATTTTTAAAACAATAACTCTAGTTATTTTTATTTATATTTCTTATATATATATATATATATATATATATATATATATATATATATATATATATCGAAGCAAATAAAACTAAATATTAGTTTTATTTGCTTCTAAACGAAGAAAAATTCACTTAGAAAGAAAGAAGGCTAAAATGGAAGTTTGTAAGCTTCAAGCTTTCAAGCATAAGCTTTCAAGAATGCCTACATAGTGAAAGCAAAAAAAAAAAGAGCTAATGGTTTCAAGACTGAAAGTTTTGCCTAAACATGGCGATTCCTCAGAGGCACATATCGTTACGCATGACTGGGTTTCTATTAAATAATTTTTTATTTATTTAGATATTTATTTGAACTTAATTTGGATTTCTCACCTTGGATATGCCAGTATACATGGCCTTTGAATAGGCTTGATAAATGCGGTCATCAGTGAATTCCACATCCAGGATTCCATCAACCCTCAGCTGGGCCATCAGCTCATATACTAGGTAGGGACAAACAGCATCGGCTCCGTAACCCATCAGGACACACATGTGATGTACTTCACGCGCTTCTCCGGTTTCAATAACAAGGCCAACCTGTAATTGTATTCAACGTATCAACCCTACTGATAATCAATTGACAAGCGCTCAAATTTTTAGAAAAATCTATAAAGGTTAGACTTAACTCCAATGTTTATCATAGCTATTCTAAGGCTTTGGTTTTAAATAAATGATCCTTAACACTACTGGTTTTTCCTCGGGTCCAGTTAACATTAGAATTGCTTGATACCGATGCGGAACAAAAGACAAGAAAGCAGACGCATTTAGCGGATAACACTACAACTGCAGCAGTTAGATATCGCATCTATCACACTAAAATGGAAGATCTCTAGGAGAAACACTTGATGCCTGTAAGCATCTTGAAAAGGATGCCGTTAATTTGAACAGAAGATTAATTTTCCTGGCCCCAAACCTTCATCCTTTGTCGCTCGTTAATCAAATGGTGGTGGGTAGCTCCGGCAGCAAGAGCGGCGCTAACGGGAACGAAGTCCTTTCCTGCCTTTTTGTCCGATAGAATAACCAGTGAACAGCCATCTTTGGCTGCTTGGCACGCTTCAGAGCAGATGCGGTCAAGAGCGCGCAACAGCCCATCGGGGCCTTGTGCTACCGGAAACACCATATCGATAACCTTTGTCTTCCACCCTTTATGAGATATTGCTTTCAACGTTGTCATGTCTTTTGTCGATATGATGGGATGATCCAGCCAGAGTCGACTAAAAAAGAGAAAAGAAAATTAAAATTAGATATTATTTTTCCAAAATATGAGTCGCATGTTTAAAATAGAGCGTACAAATTAATCGAACCCTTTAGCCACGGTCCTAACTACTAGCAGAATCTAGCGAAATGACATGCATTGCATCAGACTGCAAATACTGAGAGGAGTGGGTAGGCACCTACGAAGGGTTTGATTAGGATAAAGCGGCTTATTAGGCTCTGACTGCAGGTAGCGCAGTACAGGCTGCTACTAATGCTAAAAATGAGGGAAACCGAATTTTTTTGCTTATAAAATACTATTTTCTATTTACCGGCACTGCAGACTAGACGGCTGGAGGATGTTTGCCTCTGGTCCGATGGGGCACGCGAGCGATATGACAATTTTTTCACGAAATGGGTCCATTGGGGGATTGGTTACCTACTCGCGAATTTGCACAAAACGTATAAAAGTAAATTCAACCAAAAAATTCCAGACTTTCAGTTTGTTAAGGGATCTAACAAAGACCTTAGCGTTACCAAACAAACGATTAGTCGCTGTTATGGTAAATGTTAAAATTGTTTATTTTAAAAAAATATACAGTAAACACAAGAAACATTATAAGAACTCAAATACTTTTCTATTTAGTATTTCATAAATCACCTGTGCGAATAGCTGCTTGAAGTAATCGTAGATAAGGGGTTGAAATTTTGAGAGGCATGCAAATGCAGCATCATTGCCCATAGAACCCAGTGCTTCTTTGCTGCAATTAACGAGCACGTTAACACGTATTTGAATTAAGCGTTTGTAATAGGAACATGTCTATATAACCCTAGCGTAAGCTCTACGAAAACATTTTCGGCAATCCAATTGCTCCAAACCTGGTGATAACCTAAAGAGGCGTTATTTACCTACAATCGTATACCCGACAACCGTTTAGTGTTAATTAGGACTAGATTTATTTATATCATCTAATGATGACGTATAAATCTATATGTATTAGAACAGCTATCATCAATGATTAGAAAATGGGTCGATGACCACGTACCTATCCTGGATCATCGGTAGGAGTAGCATGTTAATAGTCTCAATCGTGTAACCGAATAGGCCAAGACGTTTATCACTAAACACGTTGAACGAATCTTCATTGCCTTGTTTATCCACGACGACACTGATCGGCTGACCTACGCGGCCCTGCTCTCGGTGAAGGTCCTCCATAGTAAACTGTATTTTAGCGAGAGAAAAAAAATATCACAGATATCTCTGTATGCTAGTGTGCTGTTCAGGCTACAATTAAATGACCTTACGCCAAGAACTGAAATTCTGTAGAACCAATTAGTTACAGGGAACGAATTACCACTCGTAAGTGAAGTTACTCCAGCTGTAGACGAAATACGCTATTATTTTGTAATCTTAGACCTAGTGTTGGATACCTTACCAATTGGGCTATAAAATACTCAAAGAGAGGTCTGTTCTGCAAAAATATTAATTTGCTGATTGAAAAAAATGAGCCGTCACAAACAGCTAAAGCACGATCTCACTAATGGTCCTTGAAATAGCCAATACTCAACTTAAATTATATAGTCCCAACAGTTCAACGCTGTCCTAGAACTAGAACAAAAATGAGAACATTTCGAGTTATGTAAAACTTTCACCTTGTAGCTTACCAGTTCCTTTAGCCACTCCTTTAATGGCCTTAAACGGGCAATTTGAAGCTTGAGTTCTTCGTCTTTGGTGAGTTGGTGTTCCTCTGTATCCACCAAAAGCATTCTGCCCGGTCTTAGTCTTCCTTTTTGCATGATGTTATCAGCAGGAATGTCCAAGACACCAACTTCACTGGCCATGATCATATAGTTATCCCTGGTCACGTAGTATCGAGCGGGTCGGAGTCCATTGCGGTCAAGCACAGCCCCGACATAGCGGCCATCGGTAAAAGTGAGCAGCGCTGGTCCATCCCATGGCTCCATTGCGCATGCACTCCAGCGGTAGAACTCTTTTTTCTCCTCAGACATTTGCGTATCATTGTGCCAAGCTTCAGGCACCTGGGTATTTAAAGAGCGCACGTACAGTCAACAGCTACGTTTTGTTATCCTTCTCATTGAAGTTAGATTCTTATTTGTGCGTTTTGGGTCAATGGCCATTCCGCCTCATGGGCAAGTAGCTAAAACAGCCGATAAAATGATTTTACCTTGGCGGCGCTTTTTCTATGAATATACAAATACAAAAAAAAATGAACTACACATACGATTGTCCAACGAGAGTTAAACTCAGATATCTGTTTTCTTTAATACCGAAGTGTTTTTTTCATACATATGGATATTATAGATGACAAACAACACGTATAGTTAACTGTTTTTCTTTCTTTGCTGGCACATTCACATTATTTTGACGCGAATTTTTCATCGCGATTAGAAATCACTATGACTGGATTTCGTTAGTTAACGCAACGTTTAGTCTCCGCCTTAAAGGTGGAGACGTGAATATAAACCTTAAAAACATTTTAATATTCAAAGGTTCAATCACGAAAGTCCACTGGCGATATATCGCGTAATCTAGGTGGCCAATTCCAGTCGTCCAAAAAGGAGAGCACGCGACCAGGTGATGATGCTTCGTGCAATAGTGCTATTTTTATAATGCCCTATAGTAATGCTAGTTTTATGCGATCCTGGAAAGTGAAGTTGTCTTGTTTGGACCGCATGCCTCCGAAACTCATTTTGTATACTCAAGACGAAAAAACTGGGTTATCGCCCCCGACGCCGCGCGCCATTGGCTGTTGTGCATTTTTGATAGCAGTTTCGAAGGAAAACAATCCAATGATGTTTTCAGCCCAAAATCGGCGCATAACAGTAGCAAGTTTAGGGTGCATATCTTTCCAGTGAAACACAGGCGGATTTTCCCTAGTCCAAACGTAATCTGTTGAGGAAGCCCCCAACATGAAGATGAGCCTCATCGCAAGAGGCGTTCGTTTGTCGTTGATCAACTACCCAATCAACATAGTTTCTTTATTTGCTGCGATATTCCGCTCATACATCTACGTTATGATAAAATCAAAGTTTCAACATTTCATTTGAAATGAATTATTTCCGCTTTCATTGGGGCACCCATATGACAGGTGGGGAGGTTCTGTCCAAATACCAGAAAACGCACAATTATTGCAATAAAAAGCGGATTTAACCGTTATAATACAGGAGCATCTTCATACCATTTTTACAATTCCTATGGAACTGTTTTAATCTTATAGCGGTAATGTACGTCCAAAATGTAATAGCTACAATATTACTATTTTGGCTCTTCAAATGAGTATTCTGTAGTACGCTTAGGAATGGTGGCAAAATGCCCCTGTTACACATGCCTTACACAGTTAAAGTTTCCCATTGCAATCATTTTGATATCGTATGTTGTCTCAACAGATGCGAAATGAGGACGTTTCAACCGTAAGAAGCTTTTCCTCTCACGTATATACAAATATGGGGGTAGTTTTACCATAGTCATGACGGCTTCGGGCAGTGATCTCTGGCCTGCCATGACAAGGAATTCCAGGACAGTATCAACCGAGCCAGAGTCACTGAGATTTGGCTCTACGACGGGATACAAATCGGCCAGCTTTTGTCCAAAAATATCAGTGTTCATGACACCCTCCCGGGCACGCATCAGGTTAACATTGCCTAAACCAGAAAAAAAAGCAACTTTGGTAATAACAACAATCCATTTGAAGGTCCGTACACTTTACCCAGTTTTTATGAAAACCGTAATAGCTGTAATAACTGTAGCATAGTTCCTATCGTCATACGTATTGAGACATAACTGCCTGAGTAGTGTTAATTATTACTGTATAATTATTCTAGCATGATATTATAATAAGCTATTCTTAAAAAAAGCATGTACAAATTGAATAGGAGTTCTTGTCATCACAAGACAAAACTACATAATAACCTGAATTGTTCCTTTTTTCTTCAGATTCTAAATTTATCGCACTCACCGTATAGCCGCCACAGAGTTAAGTGCAGCTATATGCATAGACAGTTCATTCGTATTGTTGGTGTAGTATGTATATATATATATGTGTGTGCGCGAGAAAGCGAGCGAAACAGAGAGAAAACTAAAAGTCTGTGATGCGTCACCCATAATTAGCAGTATTTAGCGCGTATGTGAGGCGATCTTTTTATATCTTTTACTTTTTTTATGTATATATAATTTTTTTTTACACCTTCGGCTATGCCTGTTGGTCACTACCGCACTCAAGACATTGTTATTCCTTGAAGCCCGAACTTGGATGCTTCAGTTCTTAGAGGTCACAAGAAAACGTAAAGCATCTCTTTAAGTCGTGTCGTGGGACGAACGATGTAGAGGAACAGATGCTGTCTGATATGGTGAACATGATCTGACATACCTCTAAGCGTGTTGATCTCTCCATTATGAGCTAACATTCGAAGGGGATGGGCTCGTTCCCATGAGGGAAAAGTATTGGTTGAGAAGCGAGCGTGGACGAGTGCTAGGTATGTCTCGAACTCTGGTCGTTGCAGATCGAGAAAGTATTTCCACAACTGCGTGGAAGTTAATTGACCCTGTAAGTATGGTAATACAAAAATCTAGAAACTCGAATATTTTTTCACAACTTAGCCTCGATGAATGACCGTGTCTTAACACAAATAGTGTTATATCATCGTTGACTTATAAACACGATTGCAGTTAATGTTCCCTGTGTGACTATACTGACCAGTTAGCTGATCCCAATCTAACTACATATATCTGTTTATATATGACCTGGAACGTACCTTGTAAACAACTGTGTCAATATTTAACGAGCAGATGTAGAATCTAAGCCCGGTCGCAGGAATTTTGTGAGTCGATGCCTTACGCAACACAAAGCAATCGAGCTTAAAGCGTTGCTCGTCCTGTGCCTGCGCAGGTACCACAAACACCTACGATCACAAATAACACACCGACAGAAAAAAAAAAACACATAATTAGGACCACTATCCTAATTGAAAACATTATATTATTCAACCGTCATAAAATCGCCAGCTATTTATTAATAAGTCCATCGTGACCCGTTGTGTAGTGTTAGAAAAATGAAATGTAAGGATGAAGGACAGCTGAAGCAAGGCAGACGTGAACCATGATTGAATTGCTGCTCTGTATATTTATGAATTGATGCTAGATAACTTAATATAGATACGTCGAAGCCATCCGGTAAAGAAACACAAAAGCAAGCATAAGATCGATTGGACGGAGCTCGCTTGCAAGCAAATCAATAACGGGGTTCATTGTATTTAACTTCAATTGCTTTACTTGGCTGAAGATAGACAAGCCTTTATATTGTATCTGTACCTGACGCATGAAGGGCTCTGTAGCTCTGGCGACATTTCCGAGGAACGTCGAGTCGGTTGGAACTGTCCTCCAGCAGAGAACTTTCAGGCCATCCTCTTCAGCTTCCTTCTCGAATGCCTTCTCCGTTTCCACCGACCGAATACTTTCCATATAGATCACGCCTGTCGCATACTTACCCTTTTCGGGAAGGTCAATATCTAACTCCTCCCTTCAGGAATATCATCCATTACAATTATTATTACTGGGTTGAACTAAATTATATGCTTTATCACAGTACCTTTATTGCTTAATGGGCCAGTGTACTGCGTAAAGTCTATCGACCCGTATAGGGTAGCGAGACTAGCTGTAACGTTCTATCCGTTATCAGAACTTATTTATTACGGGCAATGAATCCGCTGTTTCAGGTAACTCACACAGATTTTGACGGGCAGAATAAAGCTTCATACTTGTCTGAGCAACATAGGGAAATCTCAGGTCTAAATCCTCTCTGAAACGTCTCTGAATAACTAAGGAAGTTTAATGTGCGAGAAACCAGGCAGCTCGGTGCTTTAAGTTATATTAATCAGTTTCGGTGAACTAAGCTTACCTAATATATATAATCGAATCTTTATTAACCAAGCCAGGATGTTTTTAATCGTATTTATAAAAAGCACGATCTACCCATTCGATGCTAGGTGCATGCTAACTGTGGGGCGTAATTGTTGCTAAACATGAAATCTGGAACATGATTTTTAATCGCTATTTTTCTAGTAACTACGCGTTTATGCCTTCTTAAAGACAGATTTCGAAAATGATCCTGGCGTTCCATTAAGTGTAGTCTGTGATTTTAAATTAAACTTATAAAAAGTAAAATGCAAATTTATATTATAAAAATATGAATTTCCTTCTTGTACTCACTTGAGCACTTTTTTATAGAAAGCGTGTGGGAGGCCGACCATCACACCTGCACCATCACCCGTATTATTGTCACAGGAACACGCTCCGCGATGTTCCATACGGCGTGACATGATTTCAGCATCCGAGATGAGCTGTGAAAATGATAAATATGTACACTAAGTATGTAAAGTTTATTCACTACATCTGTTAGGAGAAAACAGTTTTAAACGAGCTCTAGTAGCAGCACGCATTTAGGTAGGAGAATATCTTTTGGCTAATAAGCGTCAAATGTAACCTTGAAGATAGTTCGACAACCTATTACGGCCTAGACTAGGGCCTAGACTAGGCCTACAGCCTAGGCAGCATGCGGCACGATGTTTTCTACAAATCGTTCAGCTGTTCTGTGTAAACAATTTATACTTAGATAAGCAGCAACTGTTTAGGCTGATAAGCTTTCGTTCCGTCGAAAAATATACTGTGTATTTAATCGCGCATTAGTAATACTTAGGTCATTTATCATTGACGAATATATATTTTTCTTATAGCTTCCCTACGTTTAAAAAGAGCAATTCTGAGCGATGCGACTAGTAGTCAATGATTTTAAATAGTTTAAATAGATTCTAGTTGCGATCTGTCACATTTCAGGTTCCTGAGTGATCATCACTGGTAATAGCAACAATCTGCCTATGAATGATCAGACAACTCCTCACGAGCTCGCGTCATTTTATGACTCAAATAACGACTCGGGGGTGGCAATGACTATATCAACTTGTCGAAAGAACAACTAACGACGCTATGGATAATATGTGTCCATAGATCATAGAATCCTTCGTACCCCTTTGCTTTTACGGGCTTGTGAACTACTATATTCATATTTTATTTATTTATTTTTAATCATATGTACAGCCAGGCAGGGCATCCCTGACGATCAATTGTTCAAGCGATTGAGGAAATCATGATCTCACATGAAAATATTACTGATGTGTCATAAATTGTTCAGTGATTATTTATTTGTAACTATTTTATTCACATAAATAAAATCATGATGATTATTATTTTTCAGGAAATACTGTTTTAGTAACACGAAATGTTAATACTTTTACTCTAAGTACTCGTGCAAATCATTGTATGCGTCATTGCTAGCGATAGGATTACTATGCCGTCTGGTCCTTGGGCATTTTGCACTTGAAAACCTGGGGATATTTGCTACTGAAGAACAACAGTAGATCGAGGCTTCAGCACATGTTCGAAAGGCTTCTTCCGTAAACCAGTTTGTGAGTTTAAGAGCGTTTTTGACCTGCGCCGATGACTCTACTCCCCGAAACGTACGCACACGTACTCTTGCATTTCTGTTCTACTGATAGCCGCGCATTTCGCATTGGTATAACCCATTACCAACTCGTTCCTATGCACATCTACGCTATCGATGCAATAGCTGATGTGTCGAACATCGTGGCTTTCGAAGCGAAGCTTAAATGATCATTTCCATTGAGTATTCTCCTACCTAACCTATAGAGACGGTGCACAGCAGCTCGGCAAAGCTAGAGGACCGGTAAAAGAAAACATCTTTTGCAAAAGGATCGTGGGACGCAGGCACATAGCCTACACATATTACTGCTGAACGCAGACATCTAAAAATGAGTTAACGATCATCGGCTTGACAAATACGTTGTTTTTCGGAACTGAGAAGGAGGACTTTCAAGATTAGACGTGATGAAAATAGCTAGGATTATAGTAAGATAATAATACAAGCACGAGTACCAGCTATACGGCCAAGAACCAGTTTTGGCTGCGCATCCTTTTTGACGTGTTCCAACAAACAGCAGTTTGAATGAATTCGATAGTTCTTCTCCCCACGAAATTTAGGGCCCTGCAGAAGGACCGCTACTACCTGACCGCGGTGGTTGTACCATCTCTAAAGGTTTTCATCTGTTTCAAAAAGCGCTATGGACAATCGTCATTGTTTCAAATACCTGTCATGATACTAGCATGCAGTTTAACAGAAAAATCGAGTGCTTTTTGAATCCCCACTAATTAGTCGACTCTGCACTTCCTACAGTCAAAGCTCGACTACTTTGATTATTCGATGATTCGATCGAAAGCAATGTTAAATAAGTACAGCTTCTATATCCAAGGCTATAATTCTGTTTTAAAGTTGAAATAGCAAGCGTAATAGGCTCAAAATCACTCTGATTCAACTTACTACTACACGTATTGCCAACCCAATGACTGAAGAACGTACAGCAGAATATTGTTTCATCTACTCCAGCATACTTCCTCCTTCCAGTCCTCGGTTGTAGCAATTTATTACATCACTATTTATTATTTGAGTGGTAGTTGTCGCATAGACTTTTTATCCTTTACGGATTTACTAGCCTTCGGCTTCCCATCTAAATCTAATAAGGCATATTTTGCTTCTATTACCTCCTAGAATTCTAGTTCTATTACCTCATAGAATATCTGCTACATGCTCTAAAACATCCAGTGTAACTGGGTGCTATGAGACAAAAGGTATATTAGTAGGTGAGAATTCAGAAGAAAATGGCGATGTAGTAACGATGAAAGTAACAGTCGACGTATTTTCACAGTGATCTACGTACTATAGATAGCCTTTACGTCCTAATGGCCGTAGGCGTAAAGCACCTTTAGCGGTAGATGATTGAGTGCCGTTTCTTTCCTTACCTCCACAGTAGAGGCAGCGCATCTTAAGGCCTCACTTAGTAGCTCAATTTCAATACCTAGCTTCCATTCTGGCCAGATCTTCACAGCACTGCTTTTTATGGACGTATATATTTACGACATATGTATATACTGTCTCAGAGGTATTCGAGGGGCAGAACAATTTAAAAAAGATTGGCAACAGAGTAAGCAAAAATATACTATTGTATCATCAAAGGTTCACATATATCATTGATTGCATACTACATGAAACAGCAACAAATAGTCTCCACTTCCTTCTATGATATTGTTGACCTGTAGAGCCGGTTGGTAATTTGCGTGTTTCTCCGATTGGAAAATCTCATGTGCCGTACTATGAGCCATTTGTTCATAACCAGGTACGAGCATAATCATCGCAATTACCTTAATTATAACTCCGTAAAATGAGACAATCAGCGGCGAAAGGCGTAGGACTCTATTTAGCTGTCCTGCCGTTGCCCCTAATGGCACAACAGTGTATAGTGCTTCGTTAAGAAATGATACCCATCCTACACCCGGGCTGACGGAAAACGATTTCAAATGGTCTGTTGCTTTGCAGCGTCAGATATGATACGAATGATATGAAATGTGACTAGCCGTAGGAAAACTATACAGTAATAAACTGTCGTGTTGACGGAACACCGAAACGTATCGATGTTCCTCTATTATACATAAAGTACCGACACATAACGAACAGCGTTCTTAGCAACGTACCATTATGCTGTCTGATATGCTATGATTTATTTACTCTACAGCCAAATGTAATGAAAAATCGATCCATTGTTCTTTCTTTTCAAAACGCTTCAATATAATCGGCCGCTTTTCGAATGTCTTATATTCGAATAGACGAACACGATGTTCTTTAAAACCAACTTCCGGCATTTTTCTTACCTTGTGAGTGTGAATACCATCGATCGAGACGATAAATCCGACGCCACAGGCTTCGCGTTCATTTTCAGGATTGTAAAGGCCGCGTTTTGGAGGTATAGCGGTGAACCCGTTCAGTTGATCCTGCTGGACTATTAATTCTGCTGCTGTATTGGCGTCCACCTGGCATTTTGGAGATTTGATTTCCCTTTCCATATCGACTGGAATAATAAGGTTGTTCGCTGATGTCGAGGATTCTATGAAGTCCAATTATACGGATATAACTGAAGGTTGTGATGCCACGCACGACGTCGATCAGAGCTGGTATCTCCCTTTGTTTGTCTCTCGTCTCTCCCGATGACCGCGGCGACAGTGGCGACAACACGTGCTGCCAACAGGCCAAAGCGAATGGTCGTCTTCTACTGCGCTAACGAATCACTGAATTGATTTAGTATATGGTAGCAAATAATTCTATAGGAAGAAAGGCAGGCAGACTACTATAGATTTGACGAGTAAACGGTGTGGCGACAGCAGCAACCAGCTATAACCTCCTGGTTATTCCGCGACCGACGACGTTACTCCTGAAATCGAAACGACAATCCGAATCCTACCATTAAAATAACGCAGCGGAAAATCATCATCATCTTCATCGTATATGGATATACATAGACTGAATATTAAATTATTTTCACTTGAGTAATGTGAATACTATATGCTTAACTCTAGTGATATGTGGTACACGACTCTACGTAATATGGCTTTCCCCTTGTCGAGAACTCATAATACATGACTGTTGAACCGACGATGGTACGTCCGTTTTCATCATGCACATATTCACATGCACAGCGTGAAGGAATTTGTTTGAGCTGAGGGAAATTGAGTTAGATAATCGCGTCTTTTGGTAATAGACTTCCCGATTACATAGAATAGCAATAATTATAATAAATTTGTTGAATACATTGTACATACAGCATAGAAAAATGTAAATTGTACATTTTTACATTTTTCTATGCCCCTTGAATAGCATAGCGCCGAAATGAATGTAAAAAAAATTACTATGAACCACTGTTCAGTGCACAGATTTATTAATGCTATCTGATTGATAGTCTACATTATAGAAAGCTCTGAAAAATCTGAAATAAGTACTATTCATAACTAGCCGATCTATGAATGTTCTAGTTATTAAATATTATTATTTGGGGAGCATAGCTTCTAATTATATATATATAGTAAATAGATATAGTAGTAGGTATAGGCAACAAGTGACTTCGCTCATTCATTGATCCATTCGAATTTTTCTTTATTCGAAATTATTCTACACGACCCCATCCAAGAGAGATTAAAGTCAGTATTTAGTATGTTTAACGTACGAATCCCCGTTCAATAATAGATGCTAGAAAACATTCGAAACTCGTATTCAAAGAAGCCTCAAATTTATAGAGCCCGAATGACAGGCCTTCAATTACTACCGGCTGTGTTCGCTCAAATATCAAGGGTTGCATAGTATTATATGCGTCGACACAAACAATATATAATATTGACGTTAGCATACTTTTAATACAAGGTCTACACAGCCAACTCATCACATTTAGTGCGCTCGTTTTCTACTATTTTGTCGTACGCCGAATATACATTACCCTGATCGGTAGTGCGCGGAATTACCTGGAGATAATCGTCTTAAGCATTTTTTGGTTGCCCCAGATCAGCAGAGTTCCTCACGTGGCAGAAATGGAGAGCAAACCTCATGAAAAACAAATATGGAATGGGCTAGCAAATAGATATCAAATTGTATCAGTATTTCAGATATTATTAGACTGATATTATCGCTAAGTGGAGCAAACGAATACGTGAAACTATTGAGGCCTTAAGTAATTAATTCGACGCCTGTCGTTTCTGTCTATCCATGCTTGTCTTATCTGCAATTGATCCGTCTGGTTACTGCTTCTGTTATGATTATCTTCTTTTTTTCTCACCTCTTAAGATTGTAATGCTAGTAGCCACTGATTAGCCTACCATTAGAACGACGATGGCCGTACAAATTGGAATGCAGGTATCTAGGCGCGCTTGAGAACCTAGCCGCCTCAAGTAAACAAGGTTAAAAGCAAAAGCATGGTTGTTCGTGCGAGTTTACATCCATAAAATACTTTGACATGATAGTAGTTTGGTAACAAATTTAACAGCAGTCACTGACTCATCTGTTTAGCAGCAGCAGCAGTATTTCGAAAATCGAAATTAGTAGAACGAATAAATTTACAATTACCAATACACTGAGTGCCTCAGTGTCCGATATGCAACTCAGTTGAACCGGCCGACTTAGCGTTATCGCGCGCTTATTACGAATTTTGCCTGTGTAGTCACTAACACTAAGCTTGTGTGTACGTTTTTCTCATTCATAATGCTTGATTACGTCGAAAATAGGAAAACAACACTCTGAATAAGAACGATCTTTATGACAAGGATTACGATCACAGGGTCTGTGAAGGGCCGCCGCAACAAAAACGTGCAATCATTAAAATGACATCAACAAATCAACACGGTTGTTGTTGTTGTTGCTGCTGCTGTTGGCTGCTTGTCATAGGACCAAATGGCTTCTTTTGCGCTCAATATCCACTCCATTATGGCACGATCAAAAACACCGAAAAGATAAACAGTCCTGAGTGTGGTCTATGACATAGCAATTAGCTTTTACCGCCTCTGACACCTTCACGCACACCTATACCCTTAATATTATATTTGCACTACTCTAAAAGCCTTTAAGAAATGATTTACGCAGCCTAGTTAATGCAAAGTACTATGTAGGCACTTTCATGTCTTTGAAACCAAAAATTGTGATCGTGAGACAGATAAAGATCTACAATAGTTTCTATGAGTTGCGTCGAAACGTTTTGTGATCCTCGTTGACTTTCGACGAGCATGTACACTTCGGGCATGTTTGGTTTTGTGGCGTCTTGCCCACCATTTCTCGCACCATTTTAGAAGGCTGAATTGAATAGGAAATTTTAGTATTGAAATCTTAATGATTGCATCGATGATGATTCTTTGAGAACTCATTCAATTCATACGACACTTAGGGGCTCGATTTATTAGACGATTTATTAACGATTTATTAGAAGATCATTATCAGGTTATTATTATATCATCAAAAATCAGAAAATAATGCACATAATGTATGAGCGCATGGAGGGTAACGCCATGATCGAGTACAATGACTTCCTGTGTCATCATTTGCTCGCTATGATGATGCTTAAGTTATCACTGTGCAAAAAGAGGTCTCATTCGACTACATGTTAGTTTTTCTTAACTGTCTCGTCAGTGCTGGGTTACGCTGTCAGTGGCCAACTACTTTGACTTGAAAACGTGGTCACCATTCCATTCCGCTCTCGAAGGAGTCGACGGAGACTACGGTGAATCTGACAGCAAACGAACTGCTCCTGCTACGATCTTATACGCACGTACATGTCGAGTGAGCTAGAGGAACGGTTAGACCGGCTGGATAGAAATACGGCGAGAACACTAGGGGGTAAGGTTAAAAGAGCCTTTATTTGTTCATCAGGTCAGTCACAGGAAATCGGACACCATCAAGGCGGTACCAGTTGACTTTGCTGTTAGTGGGCATTGTGGTTGATGGCGATAATGGTAACAGCGCGCCAAACAGACTGCGGAAGGATATCATTTGCGAGACATTGCAAATGTCATCTTGGACAACGATAATTCTGCATTATTAGGTCGTTGTCATGTGATAAGGCGTACGCCAACGCATCTATGATGATCCGAGTTAGCTTCAATACAATTTCATCAATACGACTTAACATTCCGATGGCGATTGGCACAGTAATACCTAAGCAATGTTTACAATTTTTTCGTAGGAGCAGCTAAGGAAATTCGTAATTAAGTAAGCGGGCTTTATTACGCCAAAGATTTGGGGTGCAGTTAAGATGTCCGCAGGAAATAATCGCCGAAATCAACTAGATCTTTCTAAAGGACTTTCATACATTGCAGGCGGGATAGCATTCAATGGTGGACAGAAAATACGTATTACGCTCTACGTATATTTGATACAACCCATAAAATACCTATCATTAATCTATAATAAAATGACTAATACCTTATGTTAAATATGTTCGTAGTGTCTGGCTTATTGGATTTGAACATATTCGATTGGTGGGTTCGATAATGCACACGGCCATATAAGCTATGTACCTGAACTTAGCATTTATGCTTTGTTAGTCCTCGCTGTTCTATACACACTAATATTAGAAACCTAAGCTTTTTTCTTGAGACTATAATGCTTATAAAATAGTTATCGGATGATTTTGGCAGGGAAATGAGACCGACTTCCGGCCACTTTAATTCGTGCTTACCGACAGGATTTCAATAGCTGTTTGGGCTTCAGATTAATCCATGCTCCTCCATACTAAATGCCCGCAACATTACTACAGTCTTGTTCACAACAGGACATGAGGCGCCTGATTATATCGCAAGGCCATCGTTTGTCCAGGCCATCATCAGGTCACCAATCAGATCTGCGGTGTCAATGAACAGCATCAACCTATTGGATAAAAGCCGTTTAATGCCGATAATAATAGCATCGCGTTTTTGAAAATTTTAACATATCAATACATTGAAAACAGGAGAACTAATTCTTTCCAAAAAAAACATACTGTGCGGGCTTGTCGTCATGCGGTAGCTAAAATTCACACAGATTCCGACTTTACTCCATAGTGGATACTGTCCAGCCACAACCTAGGTTAGTATTATTACTGTTCGAGCTGTTGTCGCCACTCAACTTGTTTGCCCCATATAGATGTATAATACCTGCTCAGCTTAATTTACGGATAATTAGGCTGAGCAATGATCTACACAGAGTCCCACAATGATCTAGACAGACTCGATTACTTCGTTACATAACCACTAAAAAAATGTACAAACGATGTGGACACTGTTTTCGGGAGATCCTTCAATAATGTATTTTAGCATGTCGATAATAATGATGATATAAAAGAATGATTTCTATCTAATCTCTTTTTCTCTCGAAAAATAAACATTCTTGAAAAAAGTCGTTTGAAGTACACTATACACTTAGCAGACAACAGTTTAGCATCATTTTTCATTTGGCATGCGAACTGTAGTTGAAAAATACGTTGTTGGAAAATTTTACAGGGAAAATACTTTAAATAGTTAAAAAAAAAGTTAGCATCTAACTTACGATATTAATTACAGAGTTTAGATATAAACAAGGAATATATGGGAAGAATGCTTTGTGAGTTTGCTAGCAATTGATGTTTTGGCCTTTTTCATCATAGTCTCACTATAGAAAACATCGGCTTTATAATCTTTGCGTCATTTTAGAGAACAAAAATAAATTACGTTACATATAATATCGATCTATATGTACGCTATTAGAACTAGAAATGAGCGTGCAAGTCTGTAGGTACCCGCAGCACGTAAGAAGCCGCTCTCGAGCAGATTGAATAGCAATCTAGTGTATTTTATCAAAATAGAAGTATAATTATTGATATACTAAATATATTTAGATAAATTAGATAACTTATAAGAATGCGCTCAAGATTTGGTTAATAATTTTGGCTAAAAATGCTGTGCTATTGTACCCTATTTAAATAACCGGTACGTTTATAACTACCGCGGTTAGAAATCTCTACAAAATCACTAACCGCAGCATCGTACTTTTTACTTCCAATGTTTTTCAGTACTTAAATATAAGAATACTTCAACAGATCCTACATGTACTAACCAACAGTTTTTGGCATTGCAAGTATTTTGAGATGTATTTTGAATACGTCTTATATCGGCAACATGTACGCTATAAATAGATATTGCTCAATTATCGTGACTAATGAACGGACGTATGGGGATATAGTGATATATCTAGATACGATTCCTCTATGGGTCTGGATAATACACCTGTGACTATCTTCTATTTTGGTCAAATCGAATAAAGAGAGATACGTGAGCACGCTAACTCACAGTAGAAACCAATGTTTGACAACTATAATTATTGGCAAAAAAAGAAAGGAACTTTTTTTTAATGTTCTGTAAATTACCGCTTCCTATCACTGTATGGTGGTATATGAAAAGATACTCAGACCTGTCAACGAACGGCTCGAGTTTGCTTAGTAAATACGTTAAGTTGTTTACGGCACATACGCGACTCAACGATTAAATATTTTTATATATTTGTATTCAAAACGTGCGAGGTGCAAAAAATATTCTAAATAGGGACATGGAGATGACTTACTTTAATCATTTCATCAACGATGTCTTTGAAGTTACTTTACCAATCAACTTTGAAGTTTCACTTACACAAGTGAAATATACAAGCCATTATCAATTAGCTTTTTCAACGACCAGAATTGCTCGATCACAAAACAGCTGTGTTGTCGTTCCATTCCTTGAGTCCTGCTGCTTCTTCGTTTAACTTTGTTTAATGTACGATAGACACGTGTAAAAAAAAGAGGACACATTGTTTTTGGTGACGGGAACACAATTACCCCGTTTCTCTGTTGACGATCTTCATTGAAATGTTGTTAAGCTTAAAGAAATTAGTCAGCAATTAATTCGTTAGAGCCGAGAAATTTTACGCAATGGTGCTTGCGAAATTATAATAACAATACGTAACAACGATTTATGGCATTTAATTTGTACGCTTACCTTCCCAAAAACAAGCAGAGCGTTTGGTCTGTGTTCAGTACATGAAATGGTTCACGCATGCGTGCTCATAAATGGTTATCTTTTGTTTTTATGTATTTTTTTGTGTAGAAAATTTCGATCTAACTTCCTGTGTGCGATCGCCGTGTTCGATCTGACTTAATTAGATCACTCAACGCGATTACATCAATGACATAAAAATTGAAATTGAATGTTTAAAATACACGATAGGATTCGTATCGATTAGTGTTACCTTGTAGATAAGAAAAGTATTCAATGTAGATAATCTCTGGCGAGATCCTTCCACTGGTATATCGCGCAGATTGTATCACCACAGTAGATATCTTTTATCTCATAGCTATCAACACGATTCCCCTTCGTTCCCTTGCAACTGATAATCTTATCTAAACAGATAGGAAAGCAGAACAACTGCGTATTTTTTATTTTTACTATCATAACAGTAGGAATAAGAAAGTAAACAAGCTAATAGTAGCAAAGTTATAATGCACTCATCAATTCATAAAGACAGAGTTAAATTTTATGAGGCTCTGTTATACTTATAACATAAGAAGACAAATTATAGCAAAGGACACGTCTTTTTGGAAAAACTGTGGGTAAATGTTTCTCGTAGTCTCGCTTTTCTTTACTCTGTAACAAAGGTGCAAGATCTGCAAGTCACATAAGGCTTTATGATTTATCGTGTTTGCTACTTGATGTCGCCAGTTCAACTTATATGTGGATTTAGTGGCAACTCAATATGAATCCGTGGTGCCTATGTTATTAATATAATGTATCGACCAATGGGTGCGCGAATTATTCGAGTCCATGATCTATTTAAACACTGCAGCACCCGATGGGCACAACCGTTGAATAGATTTCTTGAAGGCCAACCCCACAGATCGATACCATTGATCACTTATAAGGACTAAACGACACGTACCACTCTCGACAGACAACGCAACGCTCATATTAGTTTCAACTGCGGCAAACTTCACTCACAGACATGATCATTCCATAAGAGCATAACATGGCTTGTCCAAATTCAGCGTTTGTACTTCGACAACATCGATACCTAGCAACTAAACTCTGTAGACACAGATAACAAGCCCAGTACTATATGCTTCAATAGATTCTTTGTGGTAGAAGAATCGTACTTAATCGTACTTAATATTATATTATAAAAAAAAAACCTTTAATTGCTGACACTCAGCTGTCAATGGTACCGAGGCGTTTCAAAAAATAAAGGCCTCGGTACCACCGGTAATTTTCCAAAAACCTGCCTGTATATAGGACTCAACATGAATAACAGCAATAAAAACGGACGGTGCAGAAGAAGGAATCTGGATATTAAACGATCGTACTGTATCAGCTTAGACTTAGACCTAAACAACCTCAGAGCACCATTCCGGAGAGAAACCCATCGATTCTAGTCAACGTGATAAATTACAAACGCAGACATTCCAACAAAACTTTTCTTGAACTTAAAATTTCATTTTCGATGGTCATGTTTTTTCAGTGTAACTTCCGATTATTTTAATTACGTCTTTTATTTGAGGCTGCTCGCTAATCATTATCACAATATCCCTTATTAATTCGCAAATAGCTTGATAATAACACTGCCACAAGTGATTTTGCTGATTGTAAACTCGCCATTACCGCTCAAACACGCACGATATAAACAACTCAGCGGAATCAAATTTTGGACTATCGTCAGGCCAAAAATCTTCAAAACAAAAGGATTTACGACCGTCAGTACGTTTAAGGAGCCCAAAAAGATATTGGACGTTGAATATGAGCTGTACTATCCAATAGGCATTGAACACTCTCTTTTCGAGAATAGTCGCCAATCTCTGCATCAAAGCTCCTGGATTATGAAAAATTACATTTTGCACCATTTTGGTGGGTTTTCAGGCCCCTTAGATCCAAACCCCACTAAAGGTACTTCTGTTCTTCCAACGGAAATCTTTTTGTGAAATCGGCAGTAACGTAGACCTTTAGGTCTATTGTGATGATTCGTTGCGCATGAAGACATCGGATAGTATTGAATTGACCCGTAATTTCACAATAAATTCTCATCTAATTTTTTTTAAAAGAACATTTTTCTCTAATTAGACTAATTATATGATTGGTTAATGATGTACAAACTTTTACCAATTAGCCTCGCACATTTTTAATAATTTTTTCGATGTCACTGTTCTAAAAGCTGATACCTTGTTTTGCGTAAACATGATTATCGTTTCTTAATTTCGATTCCTTCCATTTAAAGAGTTCCGCAAACATCGGAAAATGATGACTGGAAGGAGCAATGTCAGGATTATACGCTGGGTAACGCCAAATATTAAAATTTTTTCAATGAATCACTAAAGATGTATGCATCGGGGCGTTGCTATAATGTAACAATATAGGAATCATTTTACTGGTCATAAGCCGACGTTTATTATTACGAATACATTGTAACAACTGAGCTCTTCACAGTACATGCGGTAATGATCTAGTTATTTAAAAGAAGCTTATAGAATAGCATACCCGGCTGTTCAACCAAATTTAAAGCGCGACATTCTTTGGATGGGGACCCGCTTTCGCTCTCGCTTAACGGGCACTGCTACGCTTTGACCATGATCTGTCGTGGTACACGTTACTTAGATCATCTACTTTTCATCATCCACTCCCATGTTTTATGTAACCCGGCAAAAGTTACAACGTGAGTTCTGATTAAGATAATAAAAGACGACTTGCACATGCCTTATTTTCAATGCTAAAATCACCTAAAGAGCGAACTACTTTCTGAATGTGTAGTCGGCGATAGTATTGGGTCCATGTACCCCACATGATGAATTCAGCACAAAGCTTCAGTTTAAACACAAAACTTCATAACTACCTAAATGCACAAGACGTTTATTTTTAAGGTCGCACGCAAATTAAATGAATTATATATATATATATATATACACATGTAGATGTGGATTTGTAGGATTAAAACAAGACTCAACGCGCAGCATAACACTCGGCCGCGATGTATCCCAGCATACATATAGGACCATCCGCGCTCTGGGCTTGTTCTTCCTTGAAAGTCTGCCTTTGTATGCTCAATCTGACTCTTAACGACACTTACGTCTGAGGGTACGCACCTTACTGTTCATGATAACCCATCGCCTTCATAAATGTAAGTTAATCTCGCATAAGAGCTGATGTCAAAATACATGCGTTTTAGGCATCAAAATTCAGAAACCTATACAGCGAGCCAGCACCTGACGAACATATATATACCGGAATCGATATGAAGGCGCTATAGTACCCGCTTTACAGTTTTTCAAATGCAAGTCTTTCCAAAATAGTAAAGTATGACTGCAGACACAGCCTGTGCTCGCGCAGTCCGCAACAGTACAATCTTCGTTTTGACTTCACGCAGAAGATCGTCGACGTGTACTTAGGAATACCTGCACCTGTGTTGAGTGTAACGCTGAGCTCTTTCAGACGAAGAGAGTAGGACCGCTTTCAGTAATACCTCGCTGAGTTCAGTAGTGACATCCAAGCTTTGCAAAAGCCGCGAAATCACGCGGTGACGCTGCAGTAAAATAGTTCACGAACTCGTCGCAGAGGTACGATTAGTTCGTCTTCTATAAATGCCTTGAACTTCCGGGAGTTTGACGCGCTCCAACACAAAACGTTTTTTTGAGGTAAATGCGTACAGGCACTTATCATGTCTTCGAACCCGCGCACAATGTGTTGACGTGTGAGGTGGTGCTTCACGCAAAAGCCGCTTGGATAGATGGGTTTTGAACCCTTTCCACGTCTCTGCATTGGCCATAACGGATTCGAACTAATATTTGGCTAAGTCTGGTAGGCTGCCATGGGCAATCCTGAACAGGTGCATACACACGTGTATTGGTGCATGGAAATCGTACACTGATATTTTCGTATCGTCCATCATCATAGATTATCCCATTATCATAGATTTATGTCGCGAGTGGTTGGCTGAGGTTAAAATGCTTATTTTGAATAATGTAGCCATGGTATTATGTCATACTGCATATACCAAGCTCCTGTTTTTACCTTCTATGAATGATTTAGTGATTTCAAACTGTCGCAAAGTAAGACCGGGTAATGGTATTTTTTAATAATTTCATGCGGTTATACATTAAGCGTTGGTTATCCCCTTTAGCTTAAAGTTAAGTTTAACGCTAAACCGTTATAACATTAAAAACGTGTACGCTACGTCTTAGTTACGTCTAAAGTTAGTAACAACTTTATATCTATTGTTAAGGAAGATATGTTCCATGTAGGTACTGGTGCTTAGTAAAGTAGAAAAAGATTGAATAAATTTTATTCAATGTAGATTCCAATTTTCTTTATATGAAAGGCAACTGAAGGTTATACTAGAGTCGAAAATTCTGTACATGTTTTGTTTAATAGCTAAGGCTGGTCCGAGCGACTTTAACGATGATGTTTATTACAACAGGGATACTTGTAATTAGGTACCTATTTGATTTTAGTTAATGCACTTTGGCGGAACTCGTTGAATGGTCCCTAAGATACAAAATAATGTAATGACTCCTATGCTCAAAACAACTAAATCAGTCCAGAAGCCAACAAAGTGATAGCTATAGGCATACGTAGCACGCACACATTTTCATGTAGTTATACTTTCACGGAAAGAAGCCTACCTCCCGTATAGAACTTTATTTGGAATTTGTTGAGAACCATTTTGAATATTTGTACTAATAGTCGCGTTATAGACAAAGCGACGCGCAAAGCGTTTTGGAAGGGTGCAGAAATAGCTTCACAGAATTACGGAAACATTTATAAAAACTAAAGCGCTTTCTGGCAACTTAAGCTCGAAAAAGAACTACTAAAAAATTCTGTGACAGATCTGTGTGGTGCGGAATGCTCTTGCTTCCCATTTTTGGTTTGGGGAGTTGCAGAAAGCAACGTCGTCGCAGTGGAAAAGAGTATTCTTTGCAGTTTGGAAAAATTGCAAAAATTTAACGAAATTCCTTCTACAGTGATTCACTGTTGATTTCTAATTGATTCAGATTAATCTAATTAATACAATTAATTCACAGTTAAAATGACTTGTGTGCTTCAAAGCTGATTCTACGCGCAAATGATTAGATCACAGCGTCCACTAGCCTTAGGCCTTGAATGTATTTTCCTTAGTAGGGCAGCTGTAACGAAATAAACGTTGCTAATAAAGTGATTAAATGGATCAAAATAATATCGAGTCATTGAAACAAGATCACGATACTTGGAGCCGCAGCCCTCAGAAAAATTTCAACCACGAAACTTCCAACGCGTAGGTCTGCAATTATATTATAGATTATGTCATGCTATATGTAATGCGGATCAAATTCGTTTGTATTCGGACAGAATCTGTAAAAATATAACAAATTAGGTAAAACAACAGAATAGCTATTGATTTATACTGTACATAAATCAGGTTGGGTATAACATTAATAAAGCGAATTGAATAGTTGAATTTATAACAAAATATTTTTTTGCTTATTTTTTAAGACTTTATAGCAAACGTATATCTGGATAAACAGTGATATAAAGAGAACAACTCTCGACCTGTACTCCTAGCTCGCTTTGTAGTATTAAGCTTATCTAATAGTCATATGACTATTAGTATCAACTGGCGAACGATTAGTATGAGTGCCAGCGAATATTTGTGCTCTTACGTCTTATGTAACACACACCACGTAAGAACGTGACAGCGTTTTTTTACGTTTACTAAATTCAAAGAGTGTCCATACACACACACACACACATATAGAACAAGGCATTTACTAAATTGTCGCCTAAAACCCAAATGATCTTAACCAGTTCAAATGCATATTGTGGTCGCTGAGTTACCGATGTTTGTCGGGGATAAATGGTCAGAGAGCCGCGCCTAACAAACGAGATATATATATAAGAGAGCCGCGCCTAACAAACGAGATATATATATAATCTTAGTACGGTATATTGAAGAAAAACAATCGGCTTTATACAAACACAATCGAATGCAGTAAATAAGAACTTTCAACTATTTTTTTTCCAATAACTGATTTTCTCTGTGTGCGTTCTCACGTCTGCCTTGTGCTTACACTATTCGTATGATAGCAGACGTTGGCACAGAAGTTGAACGACCCATAAATTTGATAAGGTTGCCCATATGCCCCGTGTGTGCTTACGTATTCTTAAATTTTTTAAACGATGACTCTCCGTTTTCCGCTGACAGAAAAACAATATCATCGCGCATATCGGCCATTAAGGTAGATATATATGGTGATGACACTCTCTGTAGCACCAAAAACAAGTAGCATATAACTTCTACTGGATTCTGGTACATATAAAGTACAAAGGTACGCATAAATTCACACCTAAAATTTGCTAAAATTCTTTCCTACATTATGCTTGACATGGTATGGGCTTCGCATTGAACACAACCAATTCTAGTCACGACGGGCTCTGGACCAATGAAACAATAACATTAAGACCGCTGTAACCATAAAACAAGAAACGAAGAGGGGTGATACTAATGACTTCCGGACTTGTTCGCACTTGGTTTCATATTGATGATAACCCATCGAGTCTTAATCTTCATTCAAGGTTTGACCAGCCGACCAGTCGCTGATAGCCGAAGCGACCTTTTCAATATCAATTCTATACGCCACACATACTTTTTATTTTAAATGAACCCCTTCAAAATTCATCACAAAAGTTACTAAAGTTATCAAGTAGCCAAATAGTAATGGTGGCAATAGCAGCAGCCTAGCGAAGAAATGACAAATTTTGTATCCTCTGTTCCGTTTGGATGTTCGCAGTGTGGAGCACGAACGTCTAATCGATCCTACAGTCAGCAACTGTGCTGCCAAGTTAGCTTCTATTAAAGAAGCAGATTGGCAAAAACACGCTAGTACTACATTAAACAAGACATATATATATTTCCTAATGATATATATATATATAGCATTAGGAAATGGCAGTAGCATACGCAAATCTTAGCAACGTAGTAAGCAAACTTGGTATGCGTCTAGGTAGTTAGATATTTATGGATTTTTAGTTTTCTAAGAAAGGATCCCTACATAATCGCATCCTGTTTCATCCTCGATTCATATTTTTCCAAGTAAAACGTGACAGCGTTCATGACCTCGCATCGTCGTAGGTAAGTGCTGCTAGCAATCTATTTGCCAGCCAAATCGGTAAACACGTATAAAATTGTAAAAATGTTTCTCTGTGTAAATATGCGGCTAGCCACTCAATTAGCTGGAATGGAACATAATAAACGCGGGCCGATACACAGACGAGAAGATCCTCCTCCTCCTCCCCGATTCCCTTCCGACCTTTAAGTAACCCTCGTTCCGGGCGGCCAATTCCCCTGGGTGGCCGACCAAGGCCATCGGCCTTGACAGTTCTAACTGCAGCGGCAACAGCACAGCGAGAGTTCGGACCTGTTCCGGTTAAGTCTCTCACATAGACTCAGTCATCTCTTACATACACTGACGCCAATCCCGATAGAGTTGAACACACGGACACACAGAAACCACCATCATCATTATGATGTGTGGGCTGCACGTAAACACCGCGTGCCTAACAGCAGTGAAGTCGATTCTACCAAAGAACAAGGAATAATCTGTATAGTTATAACACAACGCCTTTTCCCAACTAGCGTTAGGATCTCGTACCACTTCGATTTTTTTCAGTTAGCTGTATCAAACAGGAATACGAAGCGTTAGATGGGAGCACAGGATGTTGAATATAAGCAATTGCAAGAAGGTAAGAGATTCACGTACCTTGATGAAGTTCATCTATTCGTGTTGGTCGAATGTATGTCACACCGTTTCCTGCTTCTACTCCTGTTGTTGTTGCTGACGAAAAAATATCAGAACAGGATTTTTGATCTGCCAGATCAGTGGAAGCTCGATGGAAACCATTTATCATAAGGGACTTCTGCGTATGCCTCTTTACTTAAAGCGCAGATTGAGAAAATTTTCCCTCGGGGTCGCAACTGTTGCACGCAAGACAGCACAATCCGTCCAGCAAACGAATTCGATGCTTTTCTCTTCCTTGGCTTCTCTATCTTTGTCGGTCGTCGGTAGCGTTTTATGCTTAACTTTTCGTAGCCGACTACGAAAAAGACGGCCAACGTCGTCACAATCGGGACGACGTCGGGGCGACTAAACTCGCTCAGCCCTGGTACGCTTGCTGGACCAACAACAACGCACTAACCTAATCATAAAGCCACTAAGTGACTCAAACAATAGATCCGGATGTTTGATTTGTCCCAACTTGCACCTCTGGTGCTACTCCTGCGAATCTTCTCCACTTCTGTTAGTACTCGCATGCAGCGACGACCAGCCCCTAACACAAGACGGAGAAAGTCAAAATTTACAGCGCTTTCGACAGTCTGTCGTGGCACTCGCCGTTCCAACGAAGGAAGCAGGAGATATTCACGCGCTCGCACGCACTATTGTAGTCGTCAAATAGCTTTTTTGTCGTTGAATACTATCCAGCCGCAGTCGTCGTCGTCAGCATAAACGTCAGGATTAACAGCAGCGCACAGACAGGAAAACGCACAGAAAGTAGCGTCGTGCTCCGCTGAGGCACTAACCTGGCTTTCTGCTGCTTCTTGAGGACAAGCAAGCAGCGAACCACCGTCGCAGGCGCGCCACGAGACTACCCAAGTACAGCAGCCGGGATCAGCCGCTCGAGGGCGCGCGGGTAGCTGCTAGGCGAGTGTCACAATGGAGAGGGAGAGCGGCGTCGCTGACTGTTATGCGATAGCGAAGATAGCTGCTACCTAGGCAGACGGACAACGCACGAACAGCGGACGGCGGGCGAGTCGGCTGAGAAAGCTGTCAGCCAGGCCGGCGGGCAACGGGTGCCTGCTTCTGCCTTGTGCTGCCGATGGGTCCGATCGAGAGCAGAACAGTACCGACCGCAGCAGCGACGACGGCTGAGGTAGTTGTATTGGGAGCGCCGCTGAATGTCATCGCCGTGGGTAAGGGATGACGCGAGGAGATCATATGTGCTGTCGAAGAGGAGACCGAGCTGACCAAGTAGTTGTGGCTATGACCTATTTATCGAACGGCCGTCCGAGTAAGTAATAGAGCGGTCGCCTACTGCGGTTGTTCGCAGCCGTCGTCCTATGCTCGAGATAGTGATGATGACGTTTTTCGTGCTTTTGTTCTTGACTGCCGTTTTTCTTAATCATCGTTGTTATTCGCGTATTGCCCCAACATCGTAATCGTGTCGGTGACGGTGAGGGGCAACGTTAGCCAAAACGGCGTCGGTAACAACGCCGCTCGTGGCACTTGCTGTTTAAATATAGAAGTTGTTCGAACACTAGCTGTAGCTAGAGTGCTCCCGTAATGACCATCTAGCTAGAAAGGAACATTGCAAAGATGGCCGGAGGGTAAAGTGAAAAGATGGAAAGACGGAGACGCAAAAAAAAACTGTATCTTCTGTCAGCTTAAAAAGCAGCACAGATCAGCAGCGCGTCTATGTCTAAGTACTAGTCACGCTGCTCAGCAGCGTCGTCCGTGCTAGTAGACCCACTGCAGCTACTGCTACACCAATGACAGCGGCAGAGATGGCGCGTAAGAAAAACGAGTGGCATCGGCTGATATATAAACAAAGAGCCAGAAGCTTGATTACAAACAGAGCGTTGCAGACCCACCTCTCCTCTATCAGCAGCCAATATATCCATTTACGGCTGACCATAATTGAACACACGCACACTCACAGAAAGAAAGTCGGAAGATAGATAAACAGAAACACGAGGGTGTGTAATCACGCGTCTGAGAGTGTCCAAGTCGTAATTTGGTCGGCGTGAGCAAACCACGCAGATACATACATTGCGCAATATATCCCGTTTATACACACATTTATCAAGCCATATTGATATAAAAGTAAATATAAATAACAATAAACATTTTAAATTAAACACCTACGTTACAAAGTCGCCTTGAGCATATATCGGTCAAAAATGGCTGATAATTCATTTCAAAGTACGTACATAGTGTCGTCACATAGGTTACTGTTGTAATTTAAGCAATCTTCTGCATTAACAGTTTCAGGCTTAAGCTACCAAACTGAATTAACGACCGCGCATTGAATTAACACTTTGATTGTAAACTGAAAATAACGTAAAACTTGAAATATCGACTTTTTTTTTTTGTTTAATTCGAATGAGTAGCTACAAGTATTGAGCTGAGAATAGAACGAGTATTGGGAATAGAGGGAGCCGAGGACCGAATTCGCGAGTCAGTTGCGGCCTCTTATAAAATGTTCATGAACGGCAGTGTACTATTTGACACCTACTTAATGGAAACCAAATAAAATAGACTTGTCAACATACTAATTCTTCAAACACAGTTAATTTACACATATTGGCTAATTATGATATCATGTTCTATAGATTCCGAGAAAGGAAGGCAGGGAGCTTTCAGCGCAAATTCGGGTTCGATTGACATCCATATGGAAATGATAAAGATTACAAGTAATCGCGTGTTAAATATTGTTGCCCTAAAAGTCAATGATCATGATATGTGCATTGCGTATGTATGAAATATTTCCCTTTTCTCATCAATCAGCCCTAATAGTAAGTAGGCTACCTAAGCCAAAGCATCGTGGTGCCATCTAGAGGATTTCGATGCAACTACCGCCCGCTGGAGGCGTGTCTTAGAAATTCAGGGGGGTTTGGGGAAACGAAAATGCACGTAGACAGTGTGTGTCGATGTGTGCATGTATGAGTACGCTCTTGCGTAGTAGCACGACATCATAGATGAAACCTTACTTGACCACTTACTCGACCACAGAAGCAGTTAAGTCTGCGCGTGCTGACTTTGATATTAAATGCAACTGTACTTATTTGAAATTATTTGAAGATCAAGCAAGCTAAAGACCATTCCCAGCATCTTGTTAGTTGCCCACATTACTTTATATTTGACCACTGAAACAAACTTAATATGAACTATAAAACTATCTCAGCTATGTTACGGATCAGCAGTCGCTATTCAGGCTGTGATCAGAGAGTTAGCCCAGGGATAATTCTCCATGACATCGTTGTGACATCGGCAACGGTTCTTGTCTATCCCTACATTTACTAAACGCGCTACTAGTAATCTCGCACGCTGAACTTCTCATATTCTCAAACCTGGCTGTTTGAATATTCGCGTTATGATGCTTTTTTTCCAGAAGCAGCTCAGCACTGAAGGACGCATGTTTGACTTCAAGTAGTATCAAATAGACGCGTAATAGCATAAGGTATTTTGCCTTCTTTCAATTGTTCAGGGTGTCCCAAAATACCTTATGCTATTGCATTTGCCAACAAAATAAATCTTAGTTAATCGCCGATAAATCTGAAGCGACTAACGGTGATAGTGGATGTAAAATTATCAATATTTAATTAGTCGCCCTTCATAAAACACTATAATGCTGATTAACGCATTTCTTTAGAACAAGCATAAAGATGATTTTGGATACGACTCGTTCATACTTCGTAAAATCTTTTTTGTCCTTCTTTTGTTTCTAAAAATGAGATCCACTAATGAAATAGTGTCAGTGAAGACAAGTAAAAAATAAATGAGGCAACCTTCGGTGTTTTATAATAAAACAAATATTTCTAACAACATTTTTTTTTTAGGAAGAAACACATCAGTTACGCAGCTTATTCAAATAGCCAAGGACTGGGTATTAATTGAAACGTCAAAAAAGAATTGGCTCCCCCCTCCCCCCGTCCAGACCCCAGATTAGTACTTTTTGAGCCAGAAAGCTACTTAAAAAAATCTTCCGATCGATCACCGCTTTGCAGAATACAACTACTCTTCAGCTACTTTTGGTGTTACGGAAAAAGATAAGTTTATCCATGGAACAAAGGAAGTATTTCCTTTAAGTGTCCTTCAGGCATTTTGTGGCGCTTTCTGTGTCTTTTCCTAGACCTAAGATCAATGTCCTAAGACTTAAGACTATCAGGTTAAATGTATGCACCTGGAATGCCCCTATTACTTGCATAGATCCTAATAAAAAAAATTTCAATCCAGCCTAAATAAGTGAATAATCGATTCCTGAAGACGCCTTCGCCTAATGCGAAGTTTATAAGGTTTGTCTCTATTTGAACCTACATGGTGAGACAATAGGTAAAACGAACTACAGTAAACATGATCCTATTATATATATATATATATTGGAAGATGTTTCATTTTTAATTAAATCTGCCAAATTTAGTTTGTCGTTACCTTTAGCCAATAGCCGAAATAGTATGTCGATATGGTGTGGATACGGTAAGTGAACATATTATTACTTCATGAACTTGATAAAATGATCGGTTCGTTATTATCTGAATGCGTTGCGATTTTATGTATTACGGTTTCACTTATTAAGGCAAGAGCAACCAGCCATCAAGGTATTTTGATTCCTTCTAAGCTTGAACAGCGTTATGGGCTCGCAACACCGAATAACACAAAAGCAAGCCTCTCCAACTTATAAATATATTATATATGAGTAAACAATACTAATCATAAACAATCAATAAATACGCTCTTACGCCAGCATCCCTTGTATTGTTAACATACAACTAGCGACACCACAGATCTTCGAAGCCGATAGAAGCTCACAATTTAACAATTCGATGCTAACAGAAAGTTCTTTTTACGTTCATCCACCGACAACGGCTGAATTTCAACTAACTGAATCGTAGACAGAATCGCGTTGCAGGGATACGAAGCCACAAGGAGCCACTGGATGTCACCGACCTCACTATCATCAATGGGTTCTATTGGCCCTCAGCAACAATAACCCCCATCCTAATGATCAATAAAGTTATACCTCCTATGATACTCGAACAGTACAGCAAATTTTCTTTTGTTATGGCTTGATTTCACGGGGAGTACACACCCCGATTTGCGATCACTAACGTTAAACTTACCGCGTTGTCGTTTGGTGCTACATGTGTAAAAAGCTGACGATTTAAAAATGTATATATGGTCACATTCGACAATATTGCGATGCCTAAATAGGTTTAAAATACGAAAAAAAATCTATCCTTTAATGACAACCTTTGATTCGTTACGTCGACATCTTCAGAACGAGCTTAACGATGCTCTTCTTATAGAGTACCGAAACAAACAAAATCGAAGCCATATGTATATATATATATATATATATATAATGTTATTCACTATTATAAGCGCACTATTAGTATTATCGTCTTAATAGAAATATTTGTGTGGATGTAAAGATATTCGTTTTGCTCATTTCTAGTGATAACCATTCTATGAAATTTCTCAACACCTGCATCCGGCAAAAACCTAAAAAATTGCCAGCCTACCAGTGCTGTGGTATATATATTGCGGTAACTCACACCTGTCTTATACATTAGAATAAAAAGCATTTTTTTTTTGATTAATTTTTTGATTTTGATTAATTGCCGATTGAACCTTACAGTCACTACAGTATTTCAATTCAGGCTATCTAAATGTAACAGTCGTTCGGTCTGGTTGACCAGAAAAATGTTGTAGCTTGGCATCTGGACAAAACTTGAACTATAGGAAATATTTTCCCAAACTATGGTCGAAATGCTATTGCTGTGTATCGTAGACAATACAGCGTTAGTAAAATCATTGCTAGTTTATCTTGGCTTGAAGGTTATCTTTTTTTCGAACATTTACAGTTGTCGTTTTATAGAACGCTTCTTAATTAGATAGCCCAAGGTAGTTTCGATAATGCGTTCTGTAATCGCCTGTATCAACGATTGGATCCGATGCCATTCGAACTAATGATTTATTTCCATAAAGCCATTTTGTTGAGCATCTTTACCTTATGTTTCCATAGTTTTATGCGTTTCGACCCTGTTGTCTGATAGCATAAACCTGATTTCCACCGCCGCCAGCTTTCTATGTAGATGTCCTCTCAGAACTTGCGATCTAACGTCACTAACTCAATTGTCTGAATGCGGAAACTACGTAGATAGAAATTCTTCGAGCTATTAACGCATAGCCTGGATTCGCTTACCGTTTCTCATCCAGTGAATTCAAAAAGAACTCTATTCACAGTTAATAAGATTTACTACACATTGTGCTAAGTCATTTAGATAATTTTAATATTGTAATGTTACTACCGTTGGCATTTAATGAGCCACGCGCGTTGCATGGAATTGTTAGATGATTTTTAGAGGTGAATTTTCTAGAACCAATATGGCATCTAGACTTGTACGTTTGGATAAGATCGACTTAATTTTAGAAATCGTCTATTTTAATCGGCGTTGTATAATCAGTGTGCGGGATAAATAGATCTCGTGTGCAGGCACTTGCTACAAGATATGATAGTTGCAGCATGCGCCTCTTGAACAAAAGACGTGAAATTCGTTCATTGGAACATTTTACTCATTCATACAAAAATAAGTAGCAGGCAAGGGGCATCACACAGAAAATGGGTATGTTAATTAGGAAATTGTTTGTAAATCTATAATTATAGATTAAAATTGTGGACAACTGAAATCCAAGGACAGGACTTTCATGCCCATCTTGAGTGAAAAGAGGAACTTTTTTATCACGAATAGCTATAATTTAGCATTCGAATCTCTACCAAACCTATTTGTTTGACAACAGCAAACATAAAATAAGGTATAATTAATTCCGAACCATCAAGTAAAGACTTCGATGTGAGCACCATGATAGTAAGACGCAAGACATGGCCTGCTAAATACTGCGTGGCCAATATACTGCGTGCGCGGAGCACGATCTTTGCAATTAGTAAACACAACCCGATCTTTCTGTAAATCGATCGGTAATAACATGCGTGCACACACACACACTTCTGATTTTATTGGTAGTTAGCAAATACTTAATAATTAAGAAGTAAATTCTTTAGTAAAAATATGTAACTGTATTGGCACAGAGAGCTTCGATAGTCTGCAGAACACGGATAAATTATAAACAAAGACGGTAATCAACGTCAACTTCGCGCTATCCATATGCTAGCCATGGGTTACAATACATTTAGCGGCGTCAAGCTTGCGTATCAAACTGCCATCAGTACAACCTTGACGATTTAAAAGAGGATTTAGAGTCTACTCGTTTCGCGGTGTTCTACGTTATAGGTCGGTATATATCTTCTCTAAAGCTGTGGTTAAGTGTTTGTTGTGCTGCCCATCTTGGATCACGCCCGAAGTGTAACCTAGTCAATAATTGACTCTGTTGAGCGCTGAAAGTCCATGATGGCCGTTGACAGATTATTGCTCTCTTCCGCTGTATTCGATTACGATCGAGATTTCTGATCGCTTGAATACCCTGATAGTGCTTTACGCAGTAACGAAGGAATGCAAACGTTGCTATGGCTATATCCTGAACTTCGTTTCGGGAAATCACGGAATCGAATACACACAGTATTGTCTTATTCATCTGTTTTGATACAACGAAGCGTCCCTGCCGCGACGCACACAAATCTGATTACAAGATTAGAGCGTAAGTGCGATATTGATATTCTCAAGAAATGGGAATCCATGCTAATGTTTAGTGTTGCTTTGAAAAATTTAAACATCTCACGACTAAACGAAGATAGGGATCTTCACTGTGTGAGGCTATCTCCGTCAGATTCAGTGGGGTGTGATCAATTTTGCAAGTAATGCTCTTCTCTTGTTACGAAACAAATGGAATTCTTATGCATTCTTTAAGATGTCAACATTTGGGATAGGCCCAGTTCGGTCCCATGCACTATTGCGACAGGGCAAAAAACCATTCGGTTCGCATTGCAAAGCGATTAGATGGATAGATCAATAAGGCATTTATTTGCACCTTTCAAATCCATACCGTGGTGACAACTAACTTCAGCTTCCTGTATGCTGTAAAGTGAAATTGTCACAAAGCAAAAAGCAACTTAACTTTCCAGAACTTTCGAGCTTCTTCACGGGCGCATGGTGTATGGCCTATGTCTCAGGTATAAAATCGTAAACGACAATAGGTCTTCAGACTGCGCTCAACAGTTTCTCAACGACATGGTGATCTTCATCGTGATTTTCTTGCGTGGGGCACATTACGAATTCCCGTAACCATTGAGCCTACTACAGTTAACAAGAGTTTATTCGCTTTGGCCTAACAACGGTTTTTGGAACTGTTTACCCCAGCAAATGTATACTTGTGAAGGATGTTTCTTTTTAAATAACGTAAATGCACGATCGTCTTTAGATTGAAAGTATTGTTGTTGAAGATGCACGCCAGTGCCGCGATGTTTTTGTGCGTTAATGTAGTGAAGCTTCTATACTGTGGTGGATATTCTAAATCAATTCCTATATATTTCGAAACGATAACAGAACAATGATCATTTCTAATAATTTGTTAACAAATTTGTAGGAATGGGAGCGTTAGAGTCAATTCATATATTCAAGATATATTCACAAAGGCTTTCGAGAGATGCGTGCCGCCGTTGTTGTCTGGATTCATGATTAAACACTGTATGAAAGCCTGGCAAAACACAGGGTTTTTCTCTCCCTTTGTGTGTATTGCTTTTAACAAAAATCACCTACTGTAATTACTTCCGAGTTAGCATTGGTTACTTATAGAATACAAACAACATGTACCCTTGTTAATTTATTTGAAACTACATATTACGTGTTGCGGCTCTTCCTTAACCATACTTATAAAAACCTGGCCATCCACAAACCGCAAATGCTGGCCAACATCTGTTTTGAAATTTTTGTTTTGAAAAGTCATAAAATAAATCTTTCTTGTTAGTCAACTTGTTAGCGAGTCAACTAAGATACCTATTTCAGCTTGAGAATGATTGGCTACAATTAAGTTAGCTTGGTGTCATTATTATAATTATGTGGGACATATTGTCGCCATCGGTGTCAACAAACATGACACTCCTGCCTGATCGTAGCGTTCGTTTGTTCCAGTTGCAGGCCAGCAAGCACCCGCCTGGCGCCGCTATGCCTGCCTCAACCGAAAAAAGCCACCCAAAAGTGGGCAGCGTCGGCCGCCGACTAACACCATGCGATGCATGTAATATGTTTTGTCCACGTGTCTATATTGCTGCCTGCGGACACGCCTATTGCGTGGGATGTGCTGTCGTTCAACAGGAAGAACACGGTCAACTCCGTGTTATGTGCAACGAGTGCAAACGGAGAGTGATTGCAGACCTCATTGAGATGAAGGACCAATTGGTCGTGCGCGATCTACCTTTTGCATTGTGCCCCGGTCGGGTCCATTTAAAACCGCTGGGCGGTCTCGGCCGTCGCTTGACGCCTTGTGATGCCTGCAACATGTTTTCTCCACGAGTGTATCTCTGCGCATGCGGGCATGCCTTTTGTACTGGGTGCGCAATTGTTCATAAAGAGGAAGAAGAAGGTGCAGGGTTGAAGGCGTTCTGTCTCGAGTGCAAAAAAAAAGTCACTACTGATCTCATCGAGATAAAGCCAAGTTTGCTTCGACAGATGCGTTTCGTGTGTTCCTGCGGAAGGGAGGGGACACTCGAGCAAATAAAGGAGCATCTGTGGGAGTCTGCAGAGTCTCACAATGTGACTGACGTAGCCTCAAAAGGATCAATAGATGGTCCAGTTTGGAGCGGAGAGCTTACTTCACAGTTTACGCGATGAGGTGCTAAGTCTGAAATTGCAACTACGCACTCTGGTTGGCGTAGCAACCAAGAAATACTTCTGGGTCGATTTGCAGAAGATCATAGACGAACACGAGAAGTCGAGACAGAAGACCATCACGAGTAACGTTGAGCCCTGGGAGGTGTGCGGATACGCCTGCGGATTCTTCTGTCAAATCAGCGAACATGACAATGAGTGTTATGTCGACGTGTTCGTCAGGACCATGTCTAATAACACTTCGCTCTCACCGTGGCCGATGAAGAAGAGGTGCATTTTTGCACTATATGATATCAGCGGCCGCGAAGTGAAAACTCATCTGTCACTCTTCTTCCAGAACGGCAGACCGATGAACTCATGCTTTATTGCCCCGTCGTATGAAGCTGTTGCTGGTTTCGGTCCGACTAAGTTTGTTCGAGTGGCCGATATTCGCGACAGGTCGGATGAATTACTCTTTGAAGGACGAGCCTGCTTTTCGGCAGAACTTCAAGAACCGTAAGAATATTGCTACATGGAAACTAAAACGATTATCGGTGTGTTTTAGGTGCAGGCAAATGATAATCAAATAAAATTTGCGTTTCGCCAACATGTTGAAAATTTGGGAATATTATCAAGTAATGTGAATCTGTGTGATTATTAAGAAATCAAATTGCAACAAATTTAATTCAAATGTTTGGATTTAAGTCAGCAAAAAATCAAGTCAAATAATAGAATAGCTAGAACTTTTGCTTGAGATTAACGAAGTTGCGGGTTTGTTTTGTAACTAGTTTCTGCTCCTAAAAACAATCATTTAATTTAAAAAGTAACAATGGCTTTTTTTGTTATGCTTAATGATACAAAAACACCTAACATAAGGCTTTTATATAAAATTTCGATTTTTTTAATTGCATTGTTATCTTTTTATTTTTTCCATCTGAAGATGATTTCCCATTTCCGTTATAGCCGCCAAGCAATTTAATTATATTGTTCTCTTTTTAGAGACGATTCCTAGACTTTTTTTTGGAGGTTAAGGGCACCTTCATAATACAATCCCGACCATCACTATAGTAAACTCTAAATGTGCCTTCCCTCGACAGGAGCACGAGGTTGATTTGTGGTAGATGCAAGTGTCATTTTACTTCGTAATTTCTCTAGTGAAGCCTTGCGTGACCTGTAGCCCTAACGTTTCTTAAGCGTTCGCAAAATATGGTCGTTCTCTTCAGCATGTTTTTCGAATACTACTAGGGAATTAGTACTGTTGCCGTTACGCTCTACGGACGTCGTCTATTCTCAGGCGATTTATCTGTTTCGTCCCGCTAGAAATTTCCAAGTCTCCTCTTGAAGCCTTTCTCCCAGTTTAATTTTAATGCTTAGTATTGTACTATTACCAACTAACCACATCAATTAGAGTCCGAGAATCATGATGGGTGTAGAAGACCTACCACACAAGCTCTTGCAACGCCAGATCAGTGGAAGCTCGATGGAAACCATTTATCATAAGGGACTTCTGCGTATGCCTCTTTACTTAAAGCGCAGATTGAGAAAATCTTCCCTCGGGGTCGCAACTGTTGCACGCAAGACAGCACAATCCGTCCGGCAAACGAATTCGATGCTTTTCTCTTCCTTGGCTTCTCTATCTTTGTCGGTCGTCGGTAGCGTTTTATGCTCAACTTTTCGTAGCCGACTACGAAAAAGACGGCCAACGTCGTCACAATCGGGACGACGTCGGGGCGCCTAAACTCGCTCAGCCCTGGTACGCTTGCTGGACCAACAACAACGCACTAACCTAATCATAAAGCCACTAAATGTGACTCAAACAATATAATCCTGATGTTTGATTTGTCCCAACTTGCCCCTCTGGTGCTACTCCTGCGAATCTTCTCCACTTCTGTTAGTACTCGCATGCAGCGACGACCAGCCCCTAACACAAGACGGAGAAAGTCAAAATTTACAGCGCTTTCGACAGTCTGTCGTGGCACTCGCTGTTCCAACGAAGGAAGCAGGAGATATTCACGCGCTCGCACGCACTATTGTAGTCGTCAAATAGCTTTCTTGTCGTTGAATACTATCCAGCCGCAGTCGTCGTCGTCAGAATTAACAGCAGCGCACAGACAGGAAAACGCACAGAAAGTAGCGTCGTGCTCCGCTGAGGCACTAACCTGGCTTTCTGCTGCTTCTTGAGGACAAGCAAGCAGCGAACCACCGTCGCAGGCGCGCCACGAGACTACCCAAGTACAGCAGCCGGGATCAGCCGCTCAGGGCGCGCGGGTAGCTGCTAGGCGAGTGCCACAATGGAGAGGGAGAGCGGCGTCGCGGGCTGTTATGCAATAGCGAAGATACCTGCTACCTAGGTAGACGGACAACGCACGAACAGCGGACGGCGGGCGAGTCGGCTGAGACAGCTGTCAGCCAGGCCGGCGGGCAACGGGTGCCTGCTTCTGCCTTGTGCTGCCGATGGGTCCGATCGAGAGCAGAACAGTACCGACCGCAGCAGCGACGACGGCTGAGGTAGTTGTATTGGAAGTCGAGTAGGAGCGCCGCTGAATGTCATCGCCGTGGGTAAGGGATGACGCGAGGAGATCATATGTGCTGTCGAAGAGGAGACCGAGCTGACCAAGTAGTTGTGGCTATGACCTATTTATCGAACGGTCGTCCGAGCAAGTAATTGAGCGGTCGCCTACTGCGGTTGTTCGCAGCCGTTGTCCTATGCTCGAGATAGTGATGATGACGTTTTTCGTGCTTTTGTTCTTGACTGCCGTTTTTCTTAATCATCGGTGTGCGTACTGATCTAATTGCGGTCGGTGGATTAGCCAAAACGGCGTCGGTAACAACGCCTCGTGACTATATAGAAGCGAACACTAGCTGTAGCTAGAGTGCTCAATCCAGCTAGCTAGACATCACCGACAGAAATGGATATAGCGCTAATCAGCAGCGTCTATGAAGCGTTGCAGCTTAGACCGCTGTATGTCAGTTATGGCTCGCTGACATTATTGCTAACAAAGCGCTATAGACGATATTGATAAAAAGAGTGTAATAAATTATCGCGTCACATTATCGACAAATATAATGCGCATGCACATTAAATATAATAAAGTGTTATCGCCTAAATATACAGTAAAATAAAATACATAGTCCACATTTGAATTGACATTAACGCATTATGAATACGACGTAAATCACATAAACAAAATACTGAAATAGACTCATAGTGCTAATATATGATATATAATAGTTAATATAAATGTTATTGTACACTATTTAATAAACGACTGTCACTACTTTAAGTAATTTACTACTAATGTACATTATATTAGAAATATTTCGTGTCGAATGTAAAGATTATAATCACAGTTATTGTCACTCATTCATCGATATGTGCATTGCAATCCATTCTATGAAATTCTCATCAATCACCTGCACTACTCAGGGGCAAAATACCTAAGAAAATTCAGGCGAGCACTACCAGTGCTGTGTGTATATGATGATTGCGAGTAACATCACACCTGTACTTATACATTACTGAACTAGCAGTAAGCTAGGGTTGACATAATGCTTTTTTTGTTATTTTTAGATTCCAATTTTTTGATTTTTGATTAATTGACGATTGAACAAACTTAATACTAGTCATCTACAGTATTTCAATTCAGGCTATCTAAGATGTAACAGTCGTTCAGTACTCGTGTTGACATCAGCAAAAATGTAGCTTGTGCATCCTGGACAAAACGTATGAACTCATAGGAAATATTTTCCCAAACTGACTGGTCAAAATGCTATTGCTCGTGTATCGACACCGCTTGTTCCAGTAAAATCATTGCTAGCTTATCTTGGCTTGAAGGTTATCTGTTTATTCAGCGAACAATAGCAGTTGTCGTTTTATAGAACGCTTCTTCAATTAGGGTAGCCCAAATGCGTATTGATTTGCCATAAATGCGTTTTAGTAATCGCCTGTAAATCTAACGACTTGAGTATCCGATGCCATTCGAACTAGATCGATTTATTTCCATAAAGCCATATATTGTTGAGCATCTTTACCTTATTTTCCATAGTTTTATGCGTTTCGACCCGTTGTCTGATAGCATAAAACCTGATTTCCACCGACTCGCCATGCTTTGCTTATGTAGATGTCCTTTTTCTCAGACTTGCGATCTAAAATCGATCCACTAACTCAATTGTCTAAGACAAATAGACGGAAACTTACGTAGATAACGAAATTAATTCGAGCTATTAAAGACATAGCCTAGATTCGCTTACCGTTATCATCATCCAGGTGAATTCAAAAAGAACTCATATTCACAGTTAATAAGATTTACTACACATTGTGCTAAGTCATTTAGATAATTTTAATATTGTAAGTTACTACCGTATTAAGGATTTAATCGAGCACGCTGCGTTGCTACTTGGAAGGATGTTTAGATGATTTTTAAGAGTGAATTTTCTAGAACCAATATGGCATCTAGACTAGTACGTTTGGATAAGAATCGACTTAATTTTAGAAATCGTCTGTTTAATCGGCATTGTATAATCAGTGTGCGGGATAAATAGATCTCGTGTGCAGGCACTTGCTACAAGATATGATAGTTGCAGCATGCGCCTCTTGAACAAAAGACGTGAAATTCGTTCATTGGAACATTTTATTCATTCATACAAAAATAAGTAGCAGGCAAGGGGCATCACACAGAAAATGGGTATGTTAATTGGAATTGTTTGTAAATCTATAATTATAGATTGAAATTGTGGACAACTGAAATCCAAGGACAGGACTTTCATGCCCATCTTGACTGAAAAGAGGAACTTTTCTATCACGAATAGCTATAATTTAGCATTCGAATCTCTACCAAAGCTATCTGTTTGAAACAGCATATATAATAAATAAATAAATAATAAATAATAAAAAGGAAATATAAATTAATTCCGAACCATCAAGTAAAGACTTCGATGTGAGCACCATGATAGCAAGACGCAAGACATGGCCTGCTAAATACTGCGTGGCCAATATACTGCGTGCGCTGAGCACGATCTTTGCAACTAGTAAACACAACCCGATCTTTCTGTAAATCGATCGGTAATAACATGCGTGCACACACACACTTCTGATTTTATTGGTAGTTAACAAATACTTAATAATTAATAAAGTAAATTCTTTAGTAAAAATATGTAACTGTATTGGCACAGAGAGCTTCGATGCTCTGCAGAACACGGATAAATCATAAACAAAGACGGTAATCAACGTCAACTTCGCGCTATCCATATGCTAGCCATGGGTTACAATACATTTAGCGGCGTCACGCTTGCGTATCAAACTGCCATCAGTACAACCTTGACGATTTAAAGAGAGGATTTAGAGTCTACTCGTTTCGCGGTGTTCTACGTTATAGGTCGGTATATATCTTCTCTAAAGCTGTGGTTAAGTGTTTGTTGTGCTGCCTATCTTGGATCACGCCCGAAGTGTAACCTAGTCAATAATTGACTCTTATGAGCGCTGAAAGTCCATGAGGCCGTGACAGATTATTGCTCTCTTCCGCTGTATTCGATTACGATCGAGATTTCTGATCGCTTGAATACCCTGATAGTGCTTTACGCAGTAACGAAGGAATGCAAACGTTGCTGCTATATCCTGAACTTCGTTTCGGGAAATCACGGAATCACTACACACAGTTTGTCTTATTCATCTGTTTTGATACAACGAAGCGTCCCTGCCGCGACGCACACAAATCTGATTCAAGATTAGAGCGTAAGTGCGATATTGATATTTAAGAAATGGGAACCGATGCTAATGTTTAGTGTTGCTTTGAAAAATTTAAACATCGCACGACTAAACGAAGATAGGGATCTTCACTGTGTGAGGCTATCTCCGTCAGATTCAGTGGGGTGTGATCAATTTGCAAGTAATGCTCTCTCTTGTTACGAAACAAATGGTATTCTTATGCATTCTTTAAGATGTCAACATTTGGGATAGGCCCAGTTCGGTCCCATGCACTATTGCGACAGGGAAAAAACCATTCGGTTCGCATTGCAAAGCATTAGATGCATAGATCAATAAGGCATTTATTTGCACCTTTCAAATCCATACCGTGGTGACAACTAACTTCAGCTTCCTGTATGCTGTAAGGTGAACTTGTCACAAAGCAAAAAGCAACTTAACTTTCCGAACTTTCGAGCTTCTTCACGGGCGCATGGTGTATGGCCTATGTCTCAGGTATGAAATCGTAAACGACAATAGGTCTTCAGACTGCGCTCAACAGTTTCTCAGCGACATGGTGATCTTCATCGTGATTTTCTTGCGTGGGGCACATTACGAATTCCCGTAACCATTGAGCCTACTACAGTTAACAAGAGTTTATTCGCTTTGGCCTAACAACGGTTTTTGGAACTGTTTACCCAGCAAGTGTATACTTGTGAAGGATGTTTCTTTTTAAATAACGTAAATGCACGATCGTCGTTAGATTGAAAGTATTGTTGTTGGAGATGCACGCCAGTGCCGCGATGTTTTTGTACGTTAATGTAGTGAAGCTTCTTTACTGTGGTGGATATTCTAAATCATTTCCTATATATTTTGAAACGATAACAGAACAATGATCATTTCTAATAATTTGTTAACAAATTTGTAGGAATAGAAGCGTTAGAGTCAAAACAATTCATACGTTCAAGATATATTCACAAAGGCTTTCGAGAGATGCGTGCCGCCGTGTGTTGTCTGCATTCATGATTAAACACTGTATGAAAGCCTGGCAAAACACAGGGTTTTTCTCTCCCTTTGTGTGTATTGCTTTTAACAAAAATCACCTACTGTGATTACTTCCGAGTTACCATTGGTTACTTATACCTTATACTTATACACGTACCCTTGTTAATTTATTTGAAACTACATATTACGTGTTGTGGCTCTTCTTTAACCACACTTATAAAAACCTGGCCATCCACACACCGCAAATGCTGGCCAACATCTGTTTTGAAATTTTTGTTTTGAAAAGTCATAAAATAAACCTTTCTTGTTAGTCAACTTGTTAGCGAGTCAATTAAGATACCTATTTCAGCTTGGGAATGATTGGCACATTAACAGTTAACTTGTTGTCATTATTATAATTATGTGGGACATATTGTCGCCATCGGTGTCAACAAACATGACACTCCTGCCTGATCGTAGCGTTCGTTTGTTCCAGTTGCAGGCCAGCAAGCACCTGCCTGGCGCCGCTATGCCTGCCTCAACCGAAAAAAGCCACCCAAAAGTGGGCAGCGTCGGCCGCCGACAACACCATGCGATGCATGTAATATGTTTTGTCCACGTGTCTATATATTGCTGCCTGCGGAGCACGCCTATTGCGTGGGATGTGCTGTCGTTCAACAGGAAGAACACGGTCAACTCCGTGTTATGTGCAACAGTGCAAACGGAGAGTGATTGCAGACCTCATTGAGATGAAGGACCAATTGGTCGTGCGCGATCTACCTTTTGCATTGTGCCCCGGTCGGGTCCTCTGTGATGTCTGAACATGTTTTCTCCACGAGTGTATCTCTGCGCATGCGGGCATGCCTTTTGTACTGGTGCGCAATTGTTCAAAAGAGGAAGAAGGTGCAGGGTTGAAGGCGTTCTGTCTCGAATGCAAAAAAAAAGTCACTACTGATCTCATCGAGATAAAGCCAAGTTTGCTTCGACAGATGCGTTTCGTGTGTTCCGCGGAAGGGAGGGGACGCTCGAGCAAATAAAGGAGCATCTGTGGGAGTCTGCAGAGTCTCACAATGTGACTGACGTAGCCTCAAAAGGATCAATAGATGGTCCGTTTGGAGCGGAGAGCTTACTTCACAGTTTACGCGATGAGGTGCTAAGTCTGAAATTGCAACTACGCACTCTGGTTGGCGTAGCAACCAAGAAATACTTCTGGGTCGATTTGCAGAAGATCATAGACGAACACGAGAAGTGAGACAGAAGACCATCACGAGTAACGTTGAGCCCTGGGAGGTGTGCGGATACGCCTGCGGATTCTTCTGTCAAATCAGCGAACATGACAATGAGTGTTATGTCGACGTGTCGTCAGGACCATGTCTAATAACACTTCGCTCTCACCGTGGCCGATGAAGAAGAGGTGCATTTTTGCACTATATGATATCAGCGGCCGCGAAGTGAAAACTCATCTGTCACTCTTCTTCCAGAACGGCAGACCGATGAACTCATGCTTTATTGCCCCGTCGTATGAAGCTGTTGCTGGTTTCGGTCCGACTAAGTTTGTTCGAGTGGCCGATATTCGCGACAGGTCGGATGAATTACTCTTTGAAGGACGAGCCTGCTTTTCGGCAGAACTTCAAGAACCGTAAGAATATTGCTACATGGAAACTAAAACGATTATCGGTGTGTTTTGGTGTATCAGGTGAAGGCAAATGATAATCAAATAAAATTTGCGTTTCGCCAACATCGTTGAAAATTTGAGAATATATCAAGTAATGTGAATCGGTGTGATTATTAAGAAACAAATTGCAACAAATTTAATTAAATGTTTGGATTTAAGTCAGCAAAAAATCAAGTCAAATAATAGAATAGCTAGATCTTTTGCTTGAGATTAACGAAGTTGCGGGTTTGTTTTGTAACTAGTTTCTGCTCCTAAAAACAATCATTTAATTTAAAAGTAACAATGGCTTTTTTTGTTATGTTAATGATACAGGAAACACCTAACATAAGGCTTTTATATAAAATTTGTTTTTTTTAATTGCATTGTTATCTTTTTATTTTTTCCATCTGAAGATGATTTCCCATTTCCGTTATAGCCTGCCAAGCAATTTAATTATATGTTTTCTTTTTAGAGACGATTCCTAGACTTTTTTTTGGAGGTTAAGGGCACCTTCATAAACAATCCCGACCATCACTATAGTAAACTCTAAATGTGCCTTCCCTCGAAAGGAGCACGAGTTGATTTGTGGTAGATGCAAGTGTCATTTTACTTCGTAATTTCTCTAGTGAAGCCTTGCGTGACCTTAGCCCTAACGTTTCTTAAGCGTTCGCAAAATAATGGTCGTTCTCTTCAGCATGTTTTTCGAATACTACTAGGGAATTAGTACTGTTGCCGTTACGCTCTACGGACGTCGTCTATTCTCAGGCGATTTATCTGTTTCGTCCCGCTAGAAATTTCCAAGCCTCCTTTGAAGCCTTTCTCCCAGTTTAATTTTAATCTTAGTATTGTACTATTACCAACTAAACATCAATTAGAGTCCGAGAATCATGATGGGTGTAGAAGACCTACCACACAAGCTCTTGCAACGCCAGATCAGTGGAAGCTCGATGGAAACCATTTATATAAGGGACTTCTGCGTATGCCTCTTTACTTAAAGCGCAGATTGAGAAAATCTTCCCTCGGGGTCGCAACTGTTGCAGCAAGACAGCACAATCCGCCGGCAAACGAATTCGATGCTTTTCTCTTCCTTGGCTTCTCTATCTTTGTCGGTCGTCGGTAGCGTTTTATGCTCAACTTTTCGTAGCCGACTACGAAAAAGACGGCCAACGTCGTCACAATCGGGACGACGTCGGGGCGCCTAACCTCGCTCAGCCCTGGTACGCCAAGTTTTGTCTGGTCATGGACAGTGGACATCTGTGTGGTCAGAGACAAACAGGTACACAGAGAAGTAACAACAAAGCAGTACTAAGAAGATGGTGGATATGATGACAAAGGACAGGATGAACTGGGCCAAAGTTACGGCTTTCTTTAATGATATTATGAAAAGAAAAGAACAACTAGAAAGGATGAGACGTAAGAAAATAGATGAACGGCATACCCGAAACAATCATGGGCCCGATGCTCAACAACTGGAATTAGCGGAAGTACAGGGAGTACGGTTCCCCTCGAGACCCAGAGTTTATGGTCAAGAGGAAAGCCGGAATGGAGGATGGACTGGAACGGCTCAAAGGGAAGGATGATGAAATGACCGTTCCTGCAAGTCATGGTTTCGAAGTAATATCAAACATATCCCGAACCATGGCCCAAGCTGATAAAGGGGTCCTAGTGGGTGAGAGTACCACAGTACCGGACAAAGCACAGACGATGATGTCCGGTCTGCATAATGCATTTGCCCTTAACCTCCAAAAAAAAACAAAAAAGCCCTGGTACGCTTGCTGGACCAACAACAACGCACTAACCTAATCATAAAGCCACTAAATGACTCAAAAAATAGATCCTGATGTTTGATTTGTCCCAACTTGCACCTCTGGTGCTACTTCTGCGAATCTTCTCCACTTCTGTTTGTACTCGCATGCAGCGACGACCAGCCCCTAACACAAGACGGAAAAGTCAAATTACAGCGCTTTCGACAGTCTGTCGTGCACTCGCTGTTCCAACGAAGGAAGCAGGAGATATTCACGCGCTCGCACGCACTATTGTAGTCGTCAAATAGCTTTCTTGTCGTTGAATACTATCCAGCCGCA